CCAGATGCTTGACTCTTCATCAGGGATCTTTCCCAGAGCACTAGACACTTACACATTTAAGAGGAATAGTGCAACAAGCAGATCTTGATGGGACAGATGGTGCTGATGTCCCCTGACGGGCAGTCTGGTCCTTGGGAACTGGGCCAGCTTCTTTGTAAGTAGGGCATATGCACGTCTTGCCAGGGCATCCTGGTGCTGCCCACCACATCATCAGTGGGGTTTGGGAGGCACCAAGAGGACCTTCCCCTGGAGAAGGTGTGATGCTCGTGCCACACATGGCTACTGGTGACACCAACTCTGCAACCACCATGAGCTTCTCAACAAGAACTGCCATGGAGAGAGCTAGGGCTACCGATCTGACAGATGGGGTGCCAATTCTGGCTTCAGCTTCCTGCTGTCTGGTTTTGAGATGTTCCCTTAGCCTTTCTGAGCCTCACTTCTTTGGTCGGCAAATGGGCTGTGATTGGGTGATTTCGAGGATGGCTGCCAATTGTCCTTTCTCCTTATTGTTAACTAGCTGGGCCTAACCAAATATCACAGAAAACCAGTACGTAGTTACACATATTGAGGCTGCTTATGGGAGAGAAAATATGGCATTAAAGAGGGACTTTACAGTAAGCATTGCAAATATTGGGTATGTAGAAGAAGAGTAGTGTAAATTAATTCAAAGGTGTTTCAGGAGGATTATGTGTCAGAACTTGCACAGGAAGAATGAGCCTGTGATGGATGCAGGCTGGGGAGGTGTTTGCTGGAGCTGACCACGTTTGGAGACGTCAGGCAGCACTGGGCCTGAGCATGAGCTGGGGTCAGAGAGTTCAGATGCAGAGTGTGGTCCACAAAGCTGATGTCCTGCCCCATCCGGCTATCAGCAGCTGGCTTTCACTGCTCCCGAACACACATTCCCTCCCCTTTCCCTGCCCCTTCTTTCTTCTTCCTCTCAGGCTTCTCATCTCTTCCTTATCAAGCTTCTTCATCAGGAGTGTGCAGAAGACCTGGTCCTGATGGAGGTGGGAGGCCAGGGTTTGTTTTCACCTGACCAGGTGCTTCTGGTGCACATTGAATTTTGAGCACCATGGCTGTGGTCTAAATGGCTGGACACCCCCTGACCCCCACCCCCGCGTGCAGATTGGTGTCCACAGTTATCCTGGAGGCTGGTGCTGGGGATGGCGGGGCAGCCGTCTGGGGTGAAGTGGGTATTTGGAGGCCCGTGAGCATGCAGGTCGGCTCTTTCAGGTCACGGGGATAAACACCAGGACCATCTTGGTGAAGCTGGTGGTCAGTGCAATGGGGTGTCAGATTGGTCAGTGGGACAAACCAGATAAACTGCGGCTTTGCAAGGCTGTAGATGGAATGAAACCTCACATTCTGCTGGGAAGTGAGCATGTCCTGCCAGACGAGACCTGGGCCAAGAGAAAGCGGCCACCAGACAGCTGTGGTCATGCATTCTTTTATACCAATGAAGAGAGGGATTTTGAGTCACTGATAATTGCTAGATGTTGATGAAGATGATGAATAACACTCTTCATCTGGTTATGGGCAACCTCAGATTTGAAAAGATTTTCAATGTAAAGGGTCCTTGGCAATAAGCCCTCTCTTTCGTTCACATTTGCTTCTTTGAAACACTTTTTTTAGTGCCCCTGTATGCAAGGCATGGTGGTAAGCTCTGTGATACATTCACAGCTCCCATTCTGAAGGGGGCTGCCCACTCAGGTAGTGAATCTAGTAAGCGAGGGATTTCATTTTTGTCAGGGCCACAAACACAACTAGTGTGCTTAATACTGCATATGTCAGGTATGGCACCAAACGTTTTACATGGTTATATTACAAAGCCCATATGCTGGGCAATATCTTACAGAAGAAACTGAAGTTCAGAGAGATTTCTAAGCCACATAGCCTGTAATAGATTCGATGCAGACTTTGACTTCAGAGCCTGTGACTTCAAGCCTAATTCAGAAGCTACCAAGTTTAACTAGCATAGAATGGGTAAAACATCATATTGAGTTTTAGATTTTTTTTTCTTTGTTAAAAAAAGAGATTTTGGTTCTGTACAACTTTAGAACATTTGCCAATTTGCAAAGCTGGTGGCACAAATCAGGAGAAATATTTGAATCCTGTCTGGTTTCTGAGGTCTGCTGCAATCTGGATGGTAATTTTTTCACCCAGGGGACCTGCCAAGTGGGTGACATATAATCAGTTGCCGTAGGTCTTCTGTTATCAGCCAGTTCTGAGTGCAATTCACCTGATTACGTTGTACCAAGAGCAGTTGAGGGAATGTGTCCAGCCAAGTCTGAAGTACACTCAACGCTAGTAGATGTGAGTTCCATCACCCTTGGCAGTTGTGACTTCCTGTTTTCAAGATAAAAGACTTACAAAGATTTATTAGAGAATTTCAGAAGGCTTTGGTGAGGCTATCACATACAGCCCAGAGAAAACACTTAAATAGTTTAATTGCAAATGAATTTGAACCATATGGCTAGTTTTCTTAATATGCACATCAGTTTAAAAGAGGATTACCAGATGATCTATAAAAGATGTTTGATGGTATATATAACCCAGAGTATTAAAGAAAGGAAATTTTCAAAATACTTGAAAAAAATGAGATTGGTTTTTCTAAAACCAAAGATTTGAAAGAGAGACAATTGTGTTCAGAGGGAGGACATTCTCACTTCACTCCGGTTATTACGGAGACAGCGAGCTCCATGTTGTCTAGGGAACAGTTCTTCCTGGGTGGTCTTTGGTGACAGTCCTTCTCTTGTCCATTTGCTACCTGCTGAGAATACTGTTTGTTATATGTAATGCCTACTGGGCAAGGCAGTTGTGTGTTAATACTCTGAAGGCAGCCGGTTGACTCAAAACCCTTGCTTCACATTAATTAGAAGAGGTTGGGAGGTTGGTGGGATGGCCCATGGGGTAAGGGGGAGCTTAAATGAAAGGGGCACCATGGAAAGGGGATGAAACTGGGAATCAGAATGGTTGAACTCAGGTCCCTGCCTGGCCCTAAACAGCTATGTGACCGTCTGTCAGCTACTACTTCCCCTCTGTGAACCACAGTTTTCTCATGGGGGTGATGACGCTATCCTACTTACCTTGGAGCTGTTGTAAGGACAACTAGATGAACTATGTGAGAGCTTGCTGCAGAGCGAAACATTTCATAAAACAGGGGATTGCAAGAGCCAGCCTCGGCCCTGTCCCCAAAGCTTTTCAGTGGGCCTGGTCTCCTTCTAGGATGGACAGCAAAGCCAGAGCCTGGAATGGGGAAGTGTGTGCAGTGAGCAGGAAGCTGTTGTCCCTGCTGTTGGGGTGTGTGGCTCATGTTTAGTGAACCTGGCATTGTGCAGGACAGAGCCACTGGCAGACACTGCAGGCAATGAGCTTGTGCCATCTGTGACCAGGCTCCTTGTCCTTGGAACTTCACTCCTGACTCCTCAGGGACCCCGCCCCTCAGGAAATTTCAAAGACCTTTTAAACATTTTTTATTGCAGCTTATTACTGTTGAGTGTCAGGGATTGCCGAGTCAGAATCGGTTTGTCCTGGAGCAGAGACCTGCCATCCTCCCCCAGGCCCAGCAGGGACAGTGTAACCCCCAGGAGCGGTTTCCATCCCCAGACACACGGCTGGGAAGGTCTCAGGACTGGAGCAGAGCTCAGGGCAGAGGATGCTGTCTCTGCTCAATGATTTATGTTTCAGCTGATTCACATAAGACCCGTGTGTGTGTTCTCGGTAGATCTGCTCATTTTACTGGATTATACTTCTGGACTGAAAACAAAAAACTTTAAAACAATTATGACTTTGATTATTAGGGAAGGTATTTGTTGAACATGACATGGTGTTCTCTTAGTAGCCTGTAGGAATGGGGTGCCCAGTGACTGCCTGGGTAACTCCAGCTAATCTACAAGTGGATATTCCTTTTGGTTAGATTCAGGACCTTGGAACCAGGTGTCCGCCATTTCAGCATCTCCAAAGGCTATTGATTTATGTGTTCTTGAAGAGTATGCTAAATCGTGATATTAGATTTTGTTTTTATGTCTTAGTGTTGAAATGTTAGCCTAGCTGGGAATTTTCCAGTCTAATAAAATTAGTCAGAATTGGTGATGGGGTTAATGTATATATGGAGGAAGAATGCTTGGGAAGTAACTGCCTTACACAATTAAAGAGGTGCTCTTTAGCCTAACTGGATCCCCAAATGAGGGCTTACAATGTGATCAGTGGCATATTCTAAAAGAGGGCAAGGTGGTAGTCACATGATCCGTAACCCTTGTTTCCAAACATACCAGCTCTTACTTGGTATACAAGCAACATTTTAAACACTAAGTATTGACCACCAGAATGCCCTGCTTTGGGAAAGTTCACAGTGAGAGCGTTTCTTGAGATTGATTGGCTTAGCAAGAGGATTTCTCAAAATTGATTAATGTAGCAAGAAACAAAAAACAACAGACACAGAGGATAGCAGCGATGGTGTAGCATGACCAGGCTTTGTCTGGAGGAGCAAGACTTAGACATGGAAGAAAAATTAGGACCAAAATAGAAATCAGTTAATGATTCATTGTAAAGCCAAGGAAAGCCCATCTTTTCTACATTACAGTGAAAAAGCTTTCTGGAGGAGAGTTATAAATAGCACATAGTGTCTCTCTGCTATATTTTTATACTGACCTTTAGCTCTTGCCAGAGAATATATAATTTTGGCCTAACGGGGACAAAAGGAAATAGATAAAAAGGGACACTGTAAAACATCCAAGATTTCTGGCGGGCAGTCTCACAACATAGAATGTTTTATTTTAATTTCTTGAGACCTTTTGGTATGAAACGTGGGGCGGAATATGTGGATAGAGTATTGATACTGTTGGGGGAAAAATGTCCTTACTAGAATTAGTTACCAAGAAACGTATGTTTGATGCTCAGCAGCTAATTGTTGAGGCTCAGTGTCTGGAAACCTTACGTGCATGATGGCAAACTCTAAGTGGTCTACCGTCTAACCACTTTTGTGTCCTGCCCTCTTTAAGAAAAGGAAGTGCCCAACAAGCCCTTGCGTGTGCGTGTCCGGTCCTCAGATGACAGGCTGTCCATTGCATGGAAGGCACCACGCCTGTCTGGAGCCAAGAGTCCACGCAGATCACGGGGTTTTCTCCTGGGCTACGGGGAGAGTGGCCGGAAGATGAATTATGTTCCACTGACGAGAGATGAGCGGACACACGAAATTAAAAAGCTAGGTGAGTTTCATATTCATTGGTATTCAATGTTTCCATGGTCTTTGGGATCATTTCAATATTGAGAAGCTCATTCATGACAGAGCATTGTATTTTAGTTGTAATGTCCACTTGCCAGGTGCTGCAGTGGTTTGAATCTCTACTGTTTCTTCCATCTCCATCCTGGACGCCATCATTTTAACCTTTTGTTAGTGGTAGCCCCAGGCTGCCTTCCTAGTGCCTGTCAGTTGCTTCCTGATCCGACAGCACAGACTCGAGTCAGGCCATTTTCCTGGACTTAGAGTAGGGCTAATCTTGTCATCCTGGCTGTTTTTGTCATTTTGTTACTTGAAGTTTTGTCTTAGAATCCTAGGACACTGGGCCTTGGGTCCCATTAAGATGAGACATGGTAGCCGAGTGAAACTGCAAGTCAGGCTGTATTAGTCAGGGTTCTCTAGAGGGGCAGAACTAATGGAATATATGTGTGTGTGTGTATATATATGTATATATGTATGTATATATGTATATACATGTATGTATATATATATGCTACACACACACACACACGTATAAAGGGGAGTTTATTAAGTATTAGCTTACACAATCACAAGGTCCCACAATAGGTCATCTGCAGGCTGAGGAGCAAGGAGAGCCAGTCCAGGTTCCAAAACTGAAGAACTTGGAGCCTGATATTTGAGGGCAGGAAGCGTCCAGCACAGGAGAAGGATGTAGGCTGGCAGAGTAAGCCAGACTCTCTTTTCATATTTTTCTGCCTGTTTATATTCTAGCTGAGCTGACAGTTGATCAGATTGTTCCCCCCCAGATTGAGGGTGGGTCTGCTTTTCCCAGCCCACTGACTCAAATGTTAATCTCGTTTGGCCACACCCTCACAGACACACCCAGGGTCAATACTTTGTATCTTTTTTTTTTGTTTTGTTTTTTGAGACGGAGTCTTGCTCTGTCGCCCAGGCTGGAGTGCAGTGGCGTAATCTTGGCTCACTGCAACCACTGCCTCCTGGGTTCAGGCGATTCTCCTGCCTCAGCCTCCCGAGTTGCTAGGATTACAGGCGCCCGCCACCACGCCCGGCTGATTTTTGTGTTTTTAGTAGACATGGGGTTTCACCATGTTGGCCAGGATGGTCTCGAACTCCTGAATTCAGATGATCCACCCACCTCACCCTCCCAAAGTGTTGGGATTACAGGCATAAGCCACCACACCTGGTCAATACTTTGTATCCTTTAATCCAATCAAGTTGACACTCAGTATTAACCATCACTCAGGCCATCCTCCCTTTTGTCCACCCCTTACTGGGTAAAGGAAGCACTGGCCAGGGAATGCTGATGGGAACCTTTGCTGTGACGGGGAGAGATTATGTGCTTGTTCTAGCCTGGAGGGAGAGTCCTGATCTTTGCAGGTCTTATTCATCCATAAGCCTGGATAGCGGCCACAGGCTTGGCTCTGTGAGGGGCAAGGCTTATCGACTTATTCCTCGGGCCTGATGCTTCCTGCCTGTGGAGACAGTGTCCAGAGCTGTCTCACCCCTGCTTCCTGCTTCTCTCATTGGTGCACTGGAAGAAGCATGGGGTAAGCATGGCTGGGCCCTTCATCTCTGCCCCATGGGGAAGCCAGGCCACAGAGAGCACACGCAGGGCCCAGGGCTGCTTGAGCGGAGAGCCTAATTCTGGGTTCCGTGTAAAGCATACTTGCCCCATGTTCCCCAGCTTGCTTCTTACCACTGTCATAAGGTTTTCAGCCCCCACAAATGACTATTCTGGCATTTCCTATCAGTTCAGTACTCAAGCAAGGGAAAGGATGTGATTTATTGGGCCTTCTGGAAGACTCATGCAAGACCTAGGCTTCTCTTCCCTTACTTGGAGGGGCCTCTTCCCCTACCTGGAGGGGCCTCTTCCCTTACCTGTAGGGATCTCTTCCCTTAACTATAGTGGTCTCTTCCCTTACCTGGAGGGGCCTCTTCCCTTAACTATAGTGGTCTCTTCCCTTACCTGGAGGGGCCTCTTCCCTTGCCTGTAGGGAAGCAGTCTCAGCTTCCTGCCCAGTGGTGTGGAGGCTGGAGGTGGGAGCGGTGGGGGAAGGTGTGTGTGCTATGCCGGGAGGCGATGCTGAGAAGGCAGCCTGGCAACCATTGCTTGGGGCCTCTTAGTCTTAAAAGGTAGAATCCCTGAGACAAGGAGAAGGATGGGCAGACAGTGAGACTGAGACGGGCGAGACCAGACAAGGGCGTGGTAAAGGAGGAGAGGGGAGAGTTGCCTAGGAGGAGAGCTGCCGGCCTGCACAAACAGAAACGGTGCTCAGGAAACAGCCGAGGTGGGCAGCAGCTGCGTAGAAACAGAGCACTGGCTTGGACGGAAGCCTGGCGAGACCACACTCCTAGGCGCTCCCAGAGCGCCTAACTCTGCAGAAGGTACAACCATGCATTTAGGAGCCTGGATAAGCAGCTCTGTGCTCTTCAGGACCTCTGAGGCCAGCTCCCTGGGTCCAGGTAAGCTGGCTCAACTTTGGTGATGCAGGCCAGATTCTACTCCACATGTCGGCAGTTTGGATTTGATCTGGCGGAGACATTGGGTGGACGGTCACATCAGATCCCTTCCCTGATACAGCCCAGGATGTCCCTATTCTGTTTGTAGCTGTTCAGCCACCTGCTGAAGACTGTCTTGGAGGAACTCTGCTGCCTGGCGGGTGTTCCAGGTACGGGAGGGCTGGGTGTTCCAGGCACGGGCTGGCCGCGTGGAGTTTTGTGCCTTTGCGTGATCTCCACGTGGTAGCATAGGCAGCTGAGAGAGCCAGGCACAGCGTCAAAGCCAGCCCAGAATACGGACTCCAGACCTATTCAAGCACACAGGAGACCAGCCACCCCTCTGCAGCAGCAGCACGTGAAATGTCAAGGGAATGCAGGAAGTAGAAGGAGAAACTCACACATGAAATGTCAAGGGAGTGCAGAAAGCAAAAGGAGAAACTCAAGCTGGATGTCCTTTGCCAAGCGTGACTTTAGTATTAGCAGCAAGACCTCGAATTAGAGACTCCACCCCCTGATGCCACAGAATAATTTGTATACCCTTCAGTCATTCCTTCCTGAGCCACCCTACACAGGTAAGCTGGCTCTGCTTTGGTGATGCGGGTCAAATTCTGCCCGGCATGGCAGCGGGAGAATAGAGTCCCTGTTTTTGCATCTCCGCTGCTGCGGGGGAGCTTTGTTTCAACGGACAGCTCGCTTTGTTCTGAGCCCTTTGGGAACGGCGCACGCTAAAGTGTCACTTAAAGCATCGACAAGTTTTTCAACTGACTGGATCTGTTGTTGTTGTCGTCGTTTTTATTTCTTCAGTAGTGAACTGCTGGCTCACCTGAACATGGTGGAAGGATGTTTTTTGCTGCCCGAACGTGAGCAAATATTGGATCTGAGATCGGGGTGGGTTCTGGTCCCCACCTGGGTGGACAGGACAGCCTCTTGGGCTTCTGGTCAAATGAGTTAGCTCTTAAATTTTCACACATAAAAAGCACTGGACTTGCTACCGTGAATGATGTAAGGGGTCACTGTGAGGAGGAGGGCTCCTGGAAGCTGGCCCCATCACGGGGAAAAGGTGGTGCAGTATGGGGCTGAAGTGGATTTTCCTCAAGGTGTTGTAATGGACCTGCCATGTCATGGGAAGCCTGTCTACCCACTTATCCTGCTTGGGATTTTCACACTGTTTATACCAGAGAGGCCACAGAACCCTTGGTACTGCAGAGAGTGGTCACATGCTAAGGAACCTTGAGGGGTGGGCCTTATGTCCTGCAGCGGAGAGCCGCTCTCCGAGCCACTCTCTGTCACTAAACACGTCTTACTGGGCATCTCGTGCATCAGACGCGATCCCAGGGAGGCCCTAGTGTTGAACTGACTGTCAAAGGAGGCCCCACAGAGAAGGTGGCATTTGGGCAAAGACTTGCAGCTGGAGGGGCCGTGGAACTGTCAGGGGACAGGAGGCTGCAGGATGGGGAGCTGAGAGGGAGCGAGGGACTTCCTTCTACAAGTCACCAAGGAGCTGTGGGAGTGGGGGTGGGCATTTGTGCCACGTCCATCACACACTTGAGGTCGGGAAGTGGGCAAATGTGGCACTGACTGGGGGTTCCTGGGGTCACTGGGCTGATGACGTTGGGGCCATTTTGGGAATTTCATTTCCTCTCTTTTTTTTCATGACAGGGTTTCACTTTGTCACCCAGGCTGGAGTGCAGTGGCGCAATCTCGGTTCACTGCAACCTCCACCTCCCAGGTTTAAGTGATTCTCCTGCCTCACCCTCCCAAGTAGTTAGGACTACAGGCACCTGCCACCATCTCCAGCTAATTTCTGTATGTTTTAGTAGAGGCGGGGTTTCACCATGTTGGCCAGGTTGGCCTTGAACTCCTGACCTCAGATGATCAGCCCACTTTGACCTCCCAAAATGCTGGGGATTGCAGATGTAAGCCACCTCATCTGGCCCATTTCCCCTCTTTATTCAGTCATCAGGGGCACAGAAAGAGATCATCTTGACACCATTGTATGTTCATCATATCTCTATGAGGAAGAGACAGCTTGCTGGGTGTCCGTGGCGTGTTCAGCTCTGCACCCGCCCCTCTTCATCTGCAGTAATTGAGAGTCAGGCTTTGGTGCCTGCAGACCTGGGTGGGCCTGTTACCCTTGTCTGTGAAGTGAAGACAACAGTAGCTTCTGCGCGGGGCTTTGTTAAGACTCAATGAAGAAGTGCATGTGAGAAGCTTAGCACAGGGGAGAGCTGTCATTGTGTTTACTGCAGAGTAAAACTTTCTCTTAATGATAACCTTGGGCCAAGATTAGTTTCAAGAGTGCAGCAAATCATGAAATCTGGGCATTAAAAACAAAATCTCAGAACTTTAAGAAATACATTGAAGGCACATACAAATTTTAGTTGTGGGAAGTTATTCTTTTCTTGGTGGTTCTTGAGAAATGATGGGACACTGCTTTCCCTGTTTAGTTACTTACATGTGTCCCTGGACTGTGAGGTTGAATGGCTATTTTTGTTTGTTTGTTTACTTCTGGCGAGATTCCGTTGTCAATAGCACTGAGTAACGAACAGATCTGAAGTGACTTCTCCATATAGAAGCTTAGTTTGATGTTCTGTGTATTCAAGTGTTACAAACTATTCCCTCCCTTTTATAAAACACACATTTAAAAATCTTCTGGTAGAATAAGAGGTGAATGCTGGGTGCCTCCGTATAAATAATTTACTCATTTATGGCTAGAGTATCACCCGCTTTCTCTCTGTAGAGGGCAGGCTGTCAAATATTATCCTCTTCCCTTGAAACCTCTGATTCTTCTACAGCAGCTCACTCTCCATAAACAGTCCCTCTGTGTGAGAATTTTGAACACAAGTCTTCTTTTGTGTTTAGCACAACATGCCTGTAAAGACAAGACAGCGATTTCCTGCTGCCATCTGAACATGTGCAGTGCCTGAAGGAGAGAGTGCATGCTCTCAGCTCCCCTTAGGATCTTAGTGTCACCTCCGTTAACTGACCTAGGTCCTACCTGATACTATAACTATCAGTACTAGAAATAGGCCAGATTGCCACATTTTTATTCTTGAAATGATTAAAGCTGCAACAGGAGCCTTGGTCAGAGAGTCTGGAGTGAGGCATTAGCAATTTTGGATTCAGGATAGATTATGAGTTACTAAGTATGTGACCCTGGGCAAGTCACTCAATTGTTAGAACTTTATGTCCTTATTTATAAGATAAGAAGGTCAAATAAAAAATAAAAAAGGTTTTGCCTGGGTCTCAGACTTTATGATTCCATACTAATTGAGAGGACAAGTTTTGTTCCATCACTGCATTTTTTTTCTCCAACTACAATGGCCCCTGGTATACAGGGCGATTGGTTCCAGCATTCCCTGAGTATACCCCAATCCGTGCAGACTCAAGACCCTGCAGAATCCGCCTACAGCAAAGGCTGGCCCTCGCTATGCTCGAGTTTGGCATCTCTGGACTACAATCCTATCCGCATCTGGTTGAAAAGAATCCATGTATAATGTGGATCTGCACAGTTCGGACCTGTGTTGTTCAAGGACCAACTGTTCAATTTTCAAGTTCGGGTTTCGTTGCATGCTAGTGGGATCCCTCAGAGGGTGGGGGCAAGAACTGACTGAGAGAACCATCCAGAAATAAGGGGTACATTGAAAGGCTTCCATGTGCTGTTAGTAAATCTTCAGAGACTCTGTTTTGAGGATTTGAGCTTTGAAGGGCACAGCATTCCACAGGGAAAGAAAGACCTGGTCTACTCATGTTGCACATTGGCTATTCTTTTCTTCTTTCTTTCTGGTAACAGGTTAAAAACACAGTAACCCCCTCTTACCAATTCTGGAAGTAGAAAGAAATTGGGGGAATTATGTGGGTAAACGTGTTACTCTTTTCTTTTTTAAAGCATTTATCTCTTTCTGATGGTTTTGTTTTGTTTTTGTTTATCTCTTTTTGATGCTGATGAGGTAGAAACCTATTTTTCAGGAATTACTGGTAAAAATCAGCTCCCCATTTTCTAATATAATAGTGTTCTTTTTGAGTCTAATTCCTGCAGTTCTTGGGCTCGCCCTTCATTGTCCTCAAGAAGTGGGAATGCCCCCAGAAAGAGAAAATGGAAAAAGGGGAAGGGGAGGAGGAATGCAGAACCCCCCTCCACCCCCAGGGGATGTGTGTTTCTGAGAAATCCAAACCAGAATCTCATCCCTCACTCCCTGGTCCACAGCCTCAGAGTCCGTGTATGTCGTCTCCCTGCAGTCCATGAACTCCCAGGGCCGGAGCCAACCAGTCTACAGGGCTGCCCTAACAAAGCGAAAGATCTCAGGTATGTTTCTAAGGATGGATTTGGTCAAACCATAGTCTGGTATGAACGCTATGTTGTTTCCAAATGATGCTGGCTGAATGATGAATTACATGAATTTTACTGAGGCTAAAAGAAATAACAGGGCAAACGTGGTCACATTTTGGGTGTAAGCGTGCTGCTTTTATATGCAAAGGATAGAGTGCTTTTGTGACGGAATACATTTCACTGTTTATTTTGAACCACTTCACTGTGCAGTAGATTTGCTGTGATAGGAGCAGCCAAGCATTCATTCTAGTAAAGGTGCAGTCTGGCTCAAGCCTAAATTGCCTTGGGTGATGCACTGAACGACATGAGAGAGAAAGAAGAGCAGGCAGGAGGTGGTGCATGCAAGATAAGCACACACATATTATTTCAGCTGTATCTGCATTAAAATGACATTGAGAATCCTCAGAAAAAGCATCATAGGGGTTTGCTGAGAGCCTGATCACTGTCCACATGGTTACATTTCCCACGTCCTTTCAGAGACATTTTCTATATTCCTGATACATTAACAAATGACAGGTACCTTTTCTGGACCACATATCTTAATTTAAAGAGGCAATCTGCAATATGATTGTTTTCATGAGTCCACAACATAAAATCAAAGTTATACTTTTTTACACTGTATGAAGTTCCACAAATACAATGTTTCACTCTTACTATTGATGACTTGCTGCCATAGGATAAGTCCCTATATTGCTTTTCTAGAAGGCTAAATATTTTCACCTTCCCCCGCTGGTGGTAAAATCCACATCCTCTTGAAATATGGTTCCTGAAAAGTGAAAAGAAAAAAATGAAACAAAAAACTAAAACAAACAAAAAACCCAAGAGACTACAGAGTAATATTGAAGACATCTTGTGAGTCTTTTGAACTGAGACTATAAGCTTTGCGACTGTGATATGTTCTATTGATAACAAAGATAAATCTCTCTAAGAAATTGGCAAACTGACTTCTGGTTCATATCTGAACACGTTTTAATCTGTCTTGGACTCACACCTTCTAAAATGTGAGGGCATCAAACCCAATGTGAATCTTCCAGTTGTTTGAACCAGAATTTTCATTTCATGCCATGGTCGTCAAGGAAATGTGAGTAGAGTTTTCCTTCTCCTAAACTTTTGCTTTCCATAAAAATGTTATTATTTTCCAGAAACTTAACAGTGTTTATTGAGAAAGCACTGAGTTACTGGGACCATCTTTCACCCAGGCAAAGCATCCCCTTTGTACTGTTTTATATGTCGATTGGGTTGGGCAGCTTTTAAAGTGAAATGCTCATGTCTTTCTTTTTTCTTTTTTTGTTTTTGTTTGTTTGTTTTTGAGATGGAGTTTTTGCTCTGTCTCCCAGGCTGGAGTGCAGTGGCGCCATCTTGGTTCACTGCAAGCTCCACCTCCCGGGTTCATGCCATTCTCCTGCCTCAGCCTCCCTAGTAGCTGGGACTACAGCCGCCTGCCACGCCAGGCTAATTTTTTTGTATTTTTTAGTAGAGACAGGGTTTCACCATGTTAGCCAGGATCATCTCGATCTCCTGACCTTGTGATCCGCCCACCTTGGCCTCCCCAAGTGCTGGGATTACAGGCGTGAGCCACCACGCCTTGCCAAAATGCTCATTTCTTAGCCTGTGTTTAAGAAATGCAAGATGGAGATTTTTGTTTTTCTACACTGACTAATCAAATAATTGTTTACCTTTCTATCAATTTCATTTTGTTTACATTACACACAAGCAATCTTAAATGTATGCAGGGTGAGTAATAGCCTGTCAAGGACTGAGGAGCTCAGAGCAGAACCTGTTGTGAGAGAAAGCCTTTCTCTGGGTCTCATTGTCATTTCAGAAGAGGACGAATTGGATGTACCTGATGACATAAGCGTCCGAGTTATGTCATCTCAGTCTGTGCTTGTGTCCTGGGTGGATCCTGTTCTGGAAAAACAGAAGAAAGTTGTTGCATCAAGGTACTTTTGCTTATTTATTTGTCTTTGTATATGAGAGATGGGGTTTTTCTGGCCCTGAAAAGACGTGTATTTAATGATTTTATTTTCTGACTTACATGAATGCTGGCCTCTTTTGTAGCTGAATAGCTGAATGGTAAATATTGTATGACAACCTAGTTAATCCCAAGTGTGCTCACACTTTTCCCACAAATCAGATGTTACCAGGGCCTCGTGTGTAGTACACACAGCAGGAACTCACATCTCACTTGCTCAGTGATTTATCTTGTGTCTGGAAATTTCCTAGATTCCATTTCTTTCTTTGCCTCTATTTGTGTTTTGCTTTCTCTCATTGATGTTCTGTTCATGCACAGGGCCCACTTTGGGAGGAGTCTCACCGTTCCTCCTGTGATCCAGGAAGAGTCACTGTAGGATGGACTTTATGTAGAGTGCTGGACAATGTCTAATGCCTCACACTTAGTAGCTCCTCATTAGACTTTGCTAAACACTGACTTGCTTCATGTCTGGCTCATTTACACATAACACTTATCTTCTCTTAAACCATGATGTGATGCTATTCTGGCTTTTATATTCATTTGCGACAGCAATAAAAGGCAAACCAATCATAAGGTTAAAATATTCTTATGTTAAAAGGCTACTAGTGAACATCATTTCTAGTTAGTGGTAGATTAGTATAGCCATCAAAATTTTAGTTCTATGACTGAATACATTAAGTAACCAAGACAAAGCCACAGATGTGGCGGCCTGGTTATTATACATTAATTTTTCAACCTCTCTGCAACCAGGAAAGGGGAATATAGTTTAAAACAAATGGGATATGATGATGGCATTATATATATACATATATATAAATGATTACTCATATTAGATATATAGTTTCCTCCACTGTCTGCTAGTAAAAAAGATATCTGCTTTTTTTTTTGAAAGACCTCAGAAGATTCGTAGCGATTCTCTCCCTAGCCATGTGGTCTTCCTCAACACGAAGTGTTCCTTTTACCACTGGACTTTGATTTCCAACATCTTGCTGAAACCAGAGAAGACTTGAGTTTTCTTAGCAGAACTGTTGTGTTAATTGGTGTGCTGTGTCTTCAACTGAAATCTTCTCCTGGCATATTCAGTATAACAAATAGCACATTTTAAATATATCAAATGCTTTCTACTGCAAGGAGGCCACAAAGACAATTTCTTTGAAAGGGAATCAAATAAATGGTGTTTGTGGCTCTTAGACTGTCGAGGGTGCCTGCTGTCAGGGGTTGCTGAACTGTCCATATTTGGTCATAGCGTATTTCTCCCCCGATAACCATGCACCACAGTTCCTTTTGTAGGTGCCTCTGTCCTGCTCTGTTTGTTTCACATTTTCGCTCCTTTTCATGGTAGTAAGTCTACTCAAAACCACATGTTCCCATTCCTCCTGAACCTATGGAAAACATGCCTGATTTGGGATGAAATGAGTCTTTTTGTCTTTCTTTTCTGGAGAGCTGAGATAACCGTGGGCCAGGTCTCTACTGATGCCTTGAGTAGACACAAATACAGATGCACACACACACACTCACACTCACTAACACACATCCCTGATAATGTAGTTGCCTCATAAAAGCTGTCTCCTTTCTCTCCCTTCTCTTTATAATCTCTGCTTGCTCTTTTGAGCAGTATAAGATTTTTTGGTCTTGAAAAGACACTAAGCTCTGTTTTTTCCTCCTACTTTAGACAACTTTGCTTGGAACTTAAGCAGATTCTTTGAGCCAGTCACATAGTCAAAAGTTTAGATTTTTCTCCTCTTTGATTTTCTTACTTACCTCCCAAAGTCATCACTTATGAGGAAGGAAAAACAAGGTATCTAGTGTTGAGCTGCAGAGAATTTGATAGATCATTGTGGTGTGTTTTCTTATAGACAGTACACCGTGCGCTATCGAGAGAAGGGGGAGTTGGCCAGGTGGGATTATAAGCAGATCGCTAACAGGCGTGTGCTGATTGAGAACCTGATTCCAGACACCGTGTATGAATTTGCAGTCCGTATTTCACAGGGTGAAAGAGATGGCAAATGGAGTACGTCAGTCTTCCAAAGAACACCAGAATCTGGTCTGTATTTGAAATGGCCTTTGTATTTTCAATCTGGGAATTACACCCAAAATAAGATTTAATGACAATGTAAGATGCCAACAGTGACAAAGGCCAGCATGGGCATTTTTGAAAGTCACATTAACCCTACATTTTGGTAGAGTTTCTATGCATACGTGCAAAGAAGTTAAGGAACTGTTCTTTGGGTCCATGTTTTACCATTTGTTGGCCTTTTCCACTAGCATGTTGTTCTGTTGTTCCAACATGTGGAGCACATTAAATCCCAGTGTGTAGCATGTATCAGTCACCATTGTATGCTGGGTAATGGATGCTCTTGCATGTAGGAGAGCCTCTGCTTTCCTGAGGCTGAGGCTGCATTTGATTCTGGGAAAAATTTTGGTCTGTATCCAAGGCTACCATTCTTTTCTCTTAAACTATGTCTTTCAAAGTTGTATTAAGATGAAGTTGGAACTGGAGCTTAATCTTCTTATTTGTCAATGAAAGAAATTCTGAATTACTAAGACAGTTTCCCTAGATATGTCTAAACTCACTAAATAAATTGGTTGTATTGACATAAATCACTATATGACACAAAGAACCAGTGTGGAATTTTCTCTCAGGTATAATAAAAATTAACACAGTAGCTCTTCAATAAAAAAAAATGTGTACCTAGAGACCATGTGCTATTTACATCTAGAATGTCCACTAAGGCATTTAAAAATGTTTCATTCCTTATCATTTTGTAGCTCCTACCACAGCTCCTGAAAACTTGAACGTCTGGCCTGTCAATGGCAAACCTACGGTTGTCGCTGTATCTTGGGATGCGCTACCAGAGACTGAGGGGAAAGTGAAAGGTAGGAATCTTACTCCCTAAACTGTAAGATGCATTGATTCTGATGAACATGGCGTCTGCTTACAGCTTTGTCGACTGAAAAAGAAATAGGGAAGCAACATACGTCTAAGAGGTGCTCACCAAGGGACAAGGATATTTCATGCAAGGTTTTCATTGCCCAAGATTCAAGCAGTCACGAAAGTGACTATTCTTTTCATCCGTTGAGGGCTTTTTGCTGTTGCTGTTGGGAAGGACATTTTTCATTGCATGGGTGTGACAGCGTAACCTTTTCCCATCTGGAAAACACCCTGGCTTTCATGCTATGGGTCTTTTCCTTGTGCTAGGAAGATCACAAAAGCAGAGGTCAGCAGGAATCCTGCAGAGCCGTCAATATCTTTCGTGGGACCATAAATCCATTTAATGGGTTTGAAAAGCTCAAGTAATAATTGCTGGAAAATGGATTTATTCCCTATTTGTCACCATTTGTTTGTTTATGTATTTATTGATGACAAGGAAAACATAACACCAAAATAGCAAAAAGCTAGATATTTTAAAGAACAAAAATAGAGTAAAACATTCACAACTAGTTAAATTTTAAAATAGTCTGTTGAGAATACTAAATACACACAAAAAATCTTTTATTTTTAATGTAAAAGCATTTAAGAACCTTTCAGAATCTGTTTGGAGACATTTTAAAGAGCCAGGCTGAAGTTTTTCCTGGCACTGCCTATGCAAATATACTCTAAGAATAGAAAGGAATGGAGGTTTTATTCAAGAAATAAATAATTTTTATTGTTATTAGATTTGAGGGGCAACTTTAAGTCTAATATATCCAGAAACTATAAAATGTTTGTGTAAGCTTAAAGAAATCCAGAAAATTACTACTAATCTCCTTTGAGATTTTCTTAATTGAAAAAACTGAATGGTTCTCTTTTATATTCGTCCAAAACTATGTTTGCTGACACGTAGGATATCTTTTCGTGGAATAATAGAAGTTAAGGAAGGTCAATGTGGAACTGTATTTTCTATACTTAATGCTTTTTCACTTTTTGTTTTTTTTCAATAATAGATTGTACTATTCTTCTCTCTCTCTCTCTCTCTCTTTTTTTTTGCCATTGGAATAGATCCACAACAAGAGAAAAATATTAATTTGGTCCCTTTAAATCAGGGATGTCCAATCCTTTGGCTTCCCTGGGCCACACTGGAAGAATTGTCTTGGGCCACGCATAAAATACACTAGTGATAGCTGATGAGCTTTTAAAAAAAAGGGCCATGCATAAATCTCATAATATTTTAAGAAAGTTTATGAATCTGTGTTGGGCCACATTCAAAGCTGTCCTGGGTTGCGTGCAGCCTGTGGGCCACGGGTTGAATAAGCTTGCTTTAAATCATTCTTTTTACTACAATTTGAACTTTAACTTCCTCTGTATTAAGTATTGTTGTGCTGCTGAGAAGACCTCTGAAAATTGAATAAAGATTTTTTTTGCTAACTATTTTTTGTTAGCTAAAAAATGAAAAGGTAATTATTGCACCCCTAGTGACTTTATTACCATGCAACTTGTGTACTCTTCCTCTCTCTGTCATCTTAGTTGATATTTACAGTTTCTTGGCGAAAGAAGTTCCATGGTAGTCAATTAAATATTGCCAGAAATAATAACCGCAACTAAGTTTTTATGTCCAAAAGAGCTCACGTATCTTAACCCTGCTTAGGTAGTTTTCATAAGGATGTAGTGGTGAGATTAAAATTAATAATTACATTGGGGCATTTTCTATGTACAAGAAATATAAAACATAATAGAAGAATATACTTTGACATGGCTAAACTTATTTTCCAGATGGATTTAATTTATTTTAAAATTTGAATCACAAAATTTTATAGACAATGGGTTCTCTTAATTCTTACTTTTGACCACCACAAATGACAAGTTTGTTGATTTTCAATGAGAAATGAATGCTGTGTTTTTTCCAGATAAATGCTGCAAAAGCATTTTTGGTTGAAACCTTTTTTTTTTTTTTAATGAATGTACTTTTTAAAGATTGGAGCTAAGGGAAAATAAAAGATCATCCATGCTCCTGATAATTGTTGACTTTTCTGTGATTCAAGTTACTTTTCTTTGCTCCTACTCATTTCTTTTTCTTTTTTTTTCTTTTCTTTTCTTTTTTTTTTTTTGAGACATAGTCTCACTCTGTCGCCCAGGCTGGAGTGCAGTGTGCAATCTCGGCTCACTACAACCTCTGCCTCCAGGGTTCAGATGATTCTCTTGCCTCAGCCTCTCGAGTAGCTGGGACCACAGGCACATACCAGCACGCCTGGCTAATTTTTGTATTTTTAGTAGAGATGAGGGTTTCACTCTGCTGGCCAGGCTGGTCTCAAACTTCTGACCTCAAGTTATCTGCCCGCCTTGGCATCCCAAAGCGCTGGGATTACAGGCGTGAGCCACCATGCGCAGACCCTACTCATATTAATTTGATGTTTTGTAAATCTTGGGTTCATTGAGAGGAAAACAGGCATGACAGTTTTTAGTTGAAGGTGAAAATTATTTTTTAAAATGGGATTCCCTTATGTTATAATATTTCCATGTGAGCATAGACATATTTTAGTTCCTTGGACTGAATTTGCTATGGTTTTCCAAATTCAGGGCTATTATATGACTACAGAGTAAGCCAATTATAGATGGGAACATTAGATATCGCATAAATCTATTACTTAGCAACTTTTCTTCACAGCTCTAAAATGCTGTGAAATATCTTTATCAGCATATACTGAGTAAGAACTTTTTAAATTCCTACAAAAATGAAATTATATTTCAAATATGGAATTTTTCTGGCTCAATGTGCTAACAAAAATAACCCAGGTTAATAAAGTGAAACTCTTGAAGATGTCAGAAGCTATTCAGGATCCATTCCTAGCAGTTGTCACTTCTTTTTCCTTAGTTTATTCTATCAGGACATATCGATCATAGCAAATTAGTAAATAAATACAATTTTAGAAACTCAACGGTGTGTAAATTTGGGGGGAATTGTATGAAGACTGGCCTCCTGGCTTTCATATGTTTAATTTGCTTAAAATAGCGAAGTGCCAGCTAATTAAATACACAGCCCTGTCTGGTTGCCCAAATGAATGTGAGTTCACCTTCTGCTGTGTCTTCAGGCTCCAGCTGGTGACTTGGCGTGCATTGCTAGTGTATTAATTTTAGTAATGCACGTGCTAATTTGTCCTGCCCATATAGTCTGCCTGCTGCACACAGGACTGTTTTCAGTTTCGTCCTTCCAACCATCTGCCAAATCATTTCAGAATACATTCTTTCATACGCCCCGGCTCTCAAACCATTTGGAGCAAAGTCCCTCACCTATCGTGGAGACACTACTTCTGCCCTGGTGGATGGTCTGCAGCCTGGGGAACGCTATCTTTTCAAGATCCGGGCTGCAAACAGGAGAGGCCTGGGACCTCACTCCAAAGCCTTCGTTGTCGCTGTGCCAACAAGTAAGCATTGTGTGTCTGTGGCTGTCTTCTCTCTCTCCATTCCTGCTGTTTGTTTTGTGTTACTTTGAGTCATGCTCTTGGGTTTGGAACTTCTTAGCGATAATTTTTCCGGGCTCAGTTGCCTATTGATTTTTAAAATATTTTTGTGTTCCCTTTAGAAATTAGTCTTCTCAAAGATTAAAATGTTGTTGATTATTGATAACATTAATTATTATTGCAGTATGATTAATGTATTAATTATATGATTAATCTGACATCACTATTAATTTTAGGCATGTGGTGACAGGGAAAGAACATTTTTAGAAATGGTAATGTGGAGACTGAGATGGGCAGATCACGAGGTCGGGAGATCGAGACCATCCTGGCTAACACGGTGAAACCCCGTCTCTACTAAAAAATACAAAAAACTAGCTGGGCGAGGTGGCGGGCGCCTGTAGTCCCAGCTACTCGGGAGGCTGAGGCAGGAGAATGGCGTGAACCTGAGAGGCAGAGCTTGCAGTGAGCTGAGATCTGGCCACTGCACTCCAGCCTGGGCGACAGAGCGAGGAAAAAAAAAAAAAAAAAAAAAAAAGAAATGGTAATGTGACATTTTTCATTGTTAGCTCTCTTCAATTTCTATGTAGCTTTAAAAATGTTTAGTTTGCAAAAGCAGAAAGGACAGGAGATGGGTGGGGGTTAAAAAAAATTACCCACTGGGTACAGTATTCACTGGCTGGGAGATGGGTTCACTAGAAGCCCAGGCTTCACCATGATGCAATATATTCACGTAACAAACGTGCACGTGCAACCCCTGAATCTAAAATTTAAAAAAGGTAAAATTTAAAAATAAGATTAAAGTAAAATTTGTGGTTTGTATTCCATCATTTGGGAGTGCAACTGTACCCAGAAGGATTTCAGTTGTCTAGCTCACCTGATCCATATCCAAACCAAACACATTAATAAAGATCCACAACCGGAGGGGAGTGTTTTTGGACCATGTTTTCTTTTCTACTTCCTCACATTTATGCTGGATATTGGCAGCTTTTCCTTCACTGTGTGCTATGAAGACCCATGGTAGACTGCAATATTAGACAAGTTTGTCATGGAAAAATCTGTGAAATGGATGACATTTGCCCCTCTGGCACTCTCACTGCAATATAGGTTCCTCTCCCCTATAGAATCTCTTCCCTCAGTCAGTCTGCTCTGAAGACAGGGTGATTACAGTACATTTAATATAATGTTTGCCTATCCCCGGAGTTTTTATTTGAGAATTATAAATGTGTCCACTATTAATGGAATTTTAAACAAGAAGGAGGAAGCAGGTAAGGACATGTTATGGGAGGAGGGAACTTTTGTAATGCCTTAAAAATGACAAATCGGTTGCTCGTCACACATTCCCCATCACTTTGAGTATAGATTGTTCAGCAGTTTGCACCAGGTGTATTTGTGTTTCTTGTCTATTAAGGATGGCTATAATGCATTTGTAATACATTGACAATTAGTTATATTAAGAAAATCCTATATAAGATTTTACATTTATAAAATAAATGAGTTACTTCAAAGTACTCATTTCAGAATTTCTTCACATAATAAGATGTGACATAACCTGGTTCAACAGATAGAGATTTAATTCACATATATTTTCTAGGACTATATTTGTTACTTAAAGCAAAATATAAGTTTTAAAAAGAATGCTATCATTGAGAAAACACATTTCCAGGGTTCTAAGGAATTAAAAGTTAGCCATTATGACTACTGATTGGAAATGCCTCCATATGCTGTTTTTCATACTTTGTCTCACCTCCGCTTTCGCTTTTGAGTTTCTTCTTTGACAGGCAATTCTTTAAAATCTGTTGCAGCCAGTAAGGCGGAGGTTCAGCAGAAGACGGAGGACAATGAGAAACCCGAAAAACCTGAGCGTTCCTCACCCGCTCCAGCTTCCTCCCAGCACCCCTCTGTGCCTGCTTCTCCCCAAGGGAGAAATGCCAAGGACCTTCTTCTTGACTTGAAGAACAAAATATTGGCGAATGGTGGGGTGCCCCGAAAACCCCAGCTTCGTGCTAAGAAGGCAGAGGAGCTGGATCTTCAGTCGACGGAAGTCACCGGGAAGGAGGAGTTGGGTTCCCGGGAGGACTCACCCAGGTCTCCCTCGGACACCCAAGACCAGAAACGGACCCTGAGGCCACCAAGTAGACACGGCCACGCGGTCGTGGCTCCCGGCAGGACTGCAGTGAGGGTCCGGATGCCAGCGCTGCCCCGAAGGGAAGGTGTAGATAAGCCTGGCTTTTCTCCGGCCTCCCACCCCCGCCCGGGGGCGTCCCCCTCGGCTTCGGCCTCTCCTGCTCACCACGCGGCCACCCAGGGCACCTCTCACCGGCCTTCCCTGCCTGCCAGCTTTCATGACAACGACTTGGTGGACTCAGACGAAGACGAGCGCGCTGTGGGCTCCCCCCACCCCAAGGGCGCCTTCGCCCAGCCCCGGCCAGCCCTGTCCCCCAGCCGCCAGTCCCCCTCCAGCGTTCTGCGCGACAGAAGCTCCGTGCACCCCGGTGCAAAGCCAGCCTCGCCCGCGCGGAGGACCCCCCATTCAGGGGCTGCAGAGGAAGATTCCAGTGCCTCAGTCCCACCGTCAAGACTTTCTCCATCCCATGGGGGATCATCTCGGCTGCTGCCCACCCAGCCACACCGGGGTCCTCCGCTCTCCAGGGGCGGGAATGATGGTGAGGACGCCCCAGCCACCAACTCCAACGCTCCATCGCGGTCCACCATATCCTCCTCCGTCTCTTCTCGTCTCTCGTCCAGGACGCAGGTCTCTGCGGGAGCGGAGGCTTCTGATGGCGAAGGCGACGGTAACGGCGATAGGGAAGACGGCAGGAGGCAGGCGGAGGCCACGGCCCCGACGCTGCGGGCCCGGCCTGCCTCTGGACACTTCCATTTGCTCAGACACAAGCCCTTTGCTGCCAACGGGAGGTCTCCAAGCAGGTTCGGCATTGGGCGGGGACCTCGGCTGCAGCCCTCCAGTTCACCACAGTCCACTGTGCCCTCCCGAGCCCACCCCAGGGTTCACTCTCACCCGGATTCCCACCCTAGGCTTAGCTCAGGTATCCATGGAGACGAGGAGGATGAGAAGCCGCTTCCTGCCACCGTTGTCAACGACCACGTGCCTTCCTCCTCCAGGCAGCCTGTCTCCCGGGGCTGGGAAGCCCTAAGGAGAAGCCCCCAGAGAGGGGCCAGCCTGCATCGGAAGGAACCCATCCCAGAGAACCCCAAATCCGCAGGGGCAGATGCACATCCTCAGGGCAAATACTCCTCCCTGTCCTCCAAGGCTCAGGACGTTCAACAAAGCACAGACGCGGACACGGAGGGTCATTCTCCCAAAGCGCAGCCGGGGTCCACGGACCGCCACGCGTTCCCTCCTCGTCCTCCCGCAGCACGGTCACAGCACCATCCCGGGCCCAGTGTTCCCAGAAGGATGACACCCGGCCGGGCTCCAGAACAGCAACCACCTTCTCCCGTCTCCACGTCCCAGCACCAGCCGGGCCCCCAGAGCAGAGACGCGGGGCGGTCACCTTCCCCGCCCAGGCTCGCACTGGCCCCGGCCAGGGGGCCCCGCCCCACGTCCCAGGGCCGCTCCCACTTCTCCTCCGACGCTTACACGGCGAGCTCCCGAGGGATTCTCCCCACAGCCCTCCAGAACCAGGACGAGGTTGCCCAGGGTAGCTACGACGAAGACAGCGCAGAAGTCGAGGCCCAGGATGTGCGGGCCCCAGCGCACGCTGCGCGAGCCAAGGACGCAGCCGCGTCCCTTCCCAAGCGCCAGCAGGTGGAGTCTCCGACAGGCGCAGGGGCAGGTGGCGACGACAGGTCCCAGCGCGGACATGCGGGCTCCCTCGCCAGGCCCAGCCGACCCGGTGGCCCTCAGTCCCGCGCCCGGGTCCCCAGCAGGGCAGCGCCCTACTCGGGGCAGAAGGAGGAGGGCGCGATCCAGGCCACACCCGGGAAGTCAGAGCCTCCTTCCAAGAGGCCCCTGTCCTCCAAGTCCCAGCAGTCGGTCTCGGCCGAGGACGAGGAGGAGGAGGACGCGGGGTTTTTTAAAGGCGGGAAGGAAGACCTTCTGTCTTCCTCTGTGCCAAAGTGGCCCTCTTCCTCCACTCCCAGGGGCGGCAAAGACGCCGACGGTAGCCTCGCCAAGGACGAGAGGGAGACTGCCATCGCGCTTGCCCCTCGCGGAGGGAGCCTGGCTCCTGCGAAGCGACCTCTCCCCCAACCTCCAGGCAACTCCCCCAGGGCCTCCCACCTCCCTTCCCTACCGCCGCCTCGCAGCGCTGCCACCGCGAGCCCCGTCGCGGGCACCCACCCCTGGCCCAGGTACACCACGCGCGCCCCGCCCGGCCACTCCACCACTCCGATGCTGTCCTTGCGCCAGAGGATGATGCATGCCAGATTCCGTAACCCTCTCTCCCGACAGCCTGCCAGACCCTCTTACAGACAAGGTAGTTTATTTTTTCGAATGATCTTTCTTTAAGGTGTTCAGTAGTGTTCATGGCAATGCCTGAGAGGTTTTTATTCTATTTTATTTAGCACCTACTATGTCCAAGCACCGTGTTAAGAACTTTGCACATGTGACATAATTTCATCCTCTGAACGGTCTCTAGGGTTTACATTGTTATTCCTGTTTCCCAGATGGGGAAGCTGGGGCTCAGGATCTGAAGGACTTGTCCTAAGGCAGACAGCTCAAAGTTGCCATTCCAATCCCAAATGGCCTAATTTCACAGCCATTACTAACCTACATTGCCTCTAATTCTACAGTTATTTCACTGTCCTACATTGCCTCTTTGAATTCCTTGGCATACACTCTTAACCTGTGAAAATGTGTCACAACCTTGATGCCCAACTTAGCTGCTGCTTAGTTGTTCATGCGCCCTCATGTGTTTAAGGGATCCATAGTAGCTGGTTAGTTACCTATGTAGGTGTAGCTTGTTCTTGTTCTTATCTCGTTCTCATCTTCTGCATGCAAAACTCTCAAGCAAACAAACCCTGACACGAACTCAAATATCTTGGGTATGAATTGCTCAGACAGTGCAATTAGTGAATGTTGTCTAAAACCTCCAGAAAATGCATGTTAAAGATCGTTGTCACAAAGAGGAGTTACAGGTAGATGTGTGCTTTGTATTTCTGTAACAGTGGGTTGAACGAAGTCAGCTATGAACAGGAGTTTATGTCCAGGACAGGGTCTGAGGTTTGTTTTTATTTACCATAAAATTGCATTCAGTTAAATGGTGCTTTAAACTCTTCTTGTGTGTAATTGGGGCTTTGTAGAACATTCTTGAATGAATTTTTTTTTTTCTTTTTTTTTGCTGATCTGGACAATGCATTGTTATTTTAGCCCAATGAAAACACAGAACAATGCCCCATATCAAACTCAGTTTTCCACTAAGATTGGCTGTTTTAGTCAAAGCCACCTCCCTGATAATAGATGTAAAACTCTACGTTCCCTTGTACAGAGTAGGAACTCGATAAATATTTAATAAATAAATGAAGGAATGAGAGAAATAAATGTCTGCCCTGCAAGTAGCGGTCAGAAAGTCCAAGCCCTTTGCCCAGCAGTCAAGGCTGGACCAGAGCAGACTGGAGCTGATAAGAAACATCTCCGTGTGAGGCAGAGACAGACAGAAACAACTGTAAGGGTGCTGCTGCATCTTCTTACTGTCTGAGCAAATACTTCTCAAGCAGCCCCACGGCATTCAGCAAGCTTTGAGACAGCATTGTGCATTTATACTTGGTGATTGGTGATTGGGACCTGAGTCAGCTGGGCATAGCTGTGTTTAGTTTAACATGCCTAGAAAAATGGGACAGCGTCTAGCACATTTTAGACGTAATTTTCTCTGTCCTTCCAACCCTTCCTTCCTCCAGCTTCCACATGGCTAAAATAAAACTACAGCTACCAAGGTCTTACGTTTTCTATGGCAAACTTACTTATGCCACACACTCTCATTCTCACAGTATCATCAGAAAGCTGTGACTTTACTGTATTCTTAATTGACATCCAGATCTGTTATGGAGAAGTCATAATTTGAGACTATCATTATCTAATATATTTGAGCTATTGGTTTAAAATTCTGTTTAGAGTTTCTATTTGAAATGATGTGTTACTACTTATGGTTTGGTATGAAGCCAACTTCCCGGGCATGTTGAATTTACCAGGCTCTGTTGTTTTTATTTTTGGTACTGTGTAGGTTATAATGGCAGACCAAATGTAGAAGGGAGAGTCCTTCCTGGTAGTAATGGAAAACCGAATGGACAGAGAATTATCAATGGCCCTCAAGGAACAAAGTGGGTAGGGTAAATTTCTTTACACATACCCGTTGTTTTCATGCTGTTGAGAAGAGAAAAATGGTGGACATTGTGTAATGATAAATGAAGTGGCCTTTGTTTGTTCTTCTCCTCTAGTTTTAACTACTCATATGTACTTGTATAGAGTTTCTTTTAATACTCGGAAAAATCTTTGGTTCTCCTGGTAACTAGCTTGTTTTTTCTAATAGCCAAGATAAGGCATGGGCCTTTGTTTTTCATTTGCCTCAACTGGTTAGGAAGGTCAAATGAATGCAAGGCCCAACCATAGCAATTATAGACCCAATGGATGGCCGTTCAAAGGAACTTATATTTTCCCTGTCCTGGTAGCTTCTATTTATTTTTAGGTTTTGTTTATTGTTTGATTAAACATTACACATATTTTCTGTAAGTCGTCTCAAATCCTTTCTAAAAGGACACAGGGTAAAAATGAACAAATAAACAAAAAACCCTGAATGATACTGGAAATTTTTATTAGATCATCTTTTGAATCTTCCAACAATTGTTGGACTAAAATTATTTATTAGTACTTTATGTATGTCTAAACAGCTTTAATTGCTTGGGATTAAGATAAATGTTTAGGAGGTTTTGGTGGGTTGAGGGTAATAGATAGAACACTTTACAATATTCAGGAATTTAAAGTACTTTTTCTAAGAATAAAAAAATTATTTATACTGTAATTCCCGATCAAGACTTCCCATTTATAATGATAAGGTTTAGGGAAACGTACTAAAAGACTATGACATTTTCAGTCATAGGTGATCTAAAGATGCATGTTATCATTTCTTAAAGGAAGAGAAATTTATAGGAGGAAGAATGTACATTAAAGCAAAATGCTATTGCAAACAATTTTGAATGGAAACAGTATGGGGTAGATTTCAAAATAGTATTTATATAAATTTTATTTCAATGCCAAAACAGCATCCACCAAAGTGACTTGCTTATAGGGCTTCCTCCAGTAGCCTGAGTGTGCAAAGCAGTGGTTCTCAAACTTAAGCCAGCTCAGGATCACTGAGGATTTTGTCAAATACCAGTCTCAGGTAGGGCTGGGAGATTTGAGTATCTGACAAGTTCCTATGTGATGCTGAGGCTTCAGGTCCAGGACCATGCTTTGAGAACCACCAGCAAAAAGCACAAGCTTGTTCCTTAATAAAGATAATTATAGCTTTCTTCAAGTTTTACAGTTCCTCAGAACGTGACATTTTTTTGCATGCATACTATATTAGGCAACATGATTACAAATTATATTGTTTTTGTTATAGCAACTTTGATGTTTGACATTAACAGCAAAATGGAAAGATTTTATGTCTTTAACATGCTAGCAATTCACATTCATTGCAAGAAGTTAAAACAATTCGTATTGAAATATATGAAACAGAAAATAAACATTCCTCACCCAAACCACTTCTCAAAGATAACCACTCTTAACCATTTGCAGTATAACCTTCCATAATTTTTTTCTCTGCAGTTTTAAGCTTATATATGCAAATGGATATATTTTTATTTTTGCAAAATAATCAGCCCTGTAATCTGAGTTCACATGTATGTAGAATGTATGTAGAATTGTCTGCATAATATTCTACCATGCGGATGGGCCACAAATTATTTAATCTCTCCCCTCAACTGAGAGACACATTGTTTCCTTCTTTCCAGCATTAGACACAAGGTACTTGATGGTAAAAATATTTTGAACATCTTTTGTGATTTGAGAAACTTAAAACAATTTACATATTACGTGGGTAAGCAATTATAATATGAAAGATGACTGCTTCGTACTGTATTTTTTAAGACTTTATGAATAATATTGACAAAAATAATGTCTTCTATTCATATTATGGTTTCCTTCTGTGGAAGCTTCAGGTGTATGCACATAGATAGTTGGACTCATGTGACCATTTCAAAATGTCCAATATATTCTTTAATCTATGTCACGGATTTAGGTTGTGGACCTTGATCGTGGGTTAGTATTGAATGCAGAAGGAAGGCACCTCCAAGATTCACATGGAAATCCTCTTCGGATTAAACTAGGAGGAGATGGTCGAACCATTGTGGGTAAGGGAGAACGGTTTTTAAAGAATAAAAGCCTACTGAATTAGCTATAGAATTAGAGCTTCTATCTTCCTTCTCCCTCTCATTTACAATGATTGCTCTTGGTTTGGTTACTTTTACCAATGTGAGAAGAAGAGCCTCAAAAGAGGCAGAACTTGGTGTTTCCCCCAGACAGCTTTAGTTCTCTTCCTGCAGGCTGCACCCTGTAGAAAATGCGGCCCTTTAATTTGTTCTTAAATTGGCCCTTTTAGAGGAGGGGTCCACAAACTACACCTGTAGGTTGTAGCCCACTACCTGTTTTTGTAAGACTTACTATGAACTCAGAATAGTTTTTACATGTTTAAATGATTGCCAGAAAAAAGAATATTTTGTGGCATGATAATTACATGAAATGCACATTTCAGTGTCCATATGCAAAGTTTTATTGGAACACAATACACTCACTTAATTATGCATTGTCTAACTCATTTGTTATGTGCTGTTTATGTATTGTCTATCTTCTTTTTTACACCCTAAAAACTGATTGAGTAGTTGCAGCAGAGACCATCTGGCCTATAAGGCTTAACATATTTGCTTCCTGGCCCTTTACAGAAGTTTTCCACCTTTAATCCAAAGTAACACTTTCCCCACTTAGGCATAGGAATGAGGCAAAGGAAAGTATTTCTTCCTTTGCTAGATACAAGAGTTATCTCAGGATCGTGGAGCATACTGATGCAATATTCATTTATCCCTTTGCCTTTTACTGATTAAAACATAATACATAAGCTTTGAGAAGACACTTATTGCTTGCTTTTTATTTTCTTTGGATTGTCGTTGCATAGCTATTGGTTGATTTTATTTCAGATCTGGAAGGGACCCCCGTGGTGAGTCCTGACGGCCTCCCACTCTTTGGGCAGGGGCGACATGGCACACCTCTTGCCAGTGCCCAAGATAAGCCAATTTTGAGTCTTGGAGGAAAGCCACTGGTGGGCTTGGAGGTCATCAAAACAACCACTCATCCCCCTACCACTACCACGTGGCCTACCACTACGACAACGCCCCTGCCTACCACTACAACCCAGCGGCCCACCACTGCCACCACCCGCCGCACAACCATCACCCGTCGCACGACCACCAGGCGCCCAACAACCACAGTCCGAACCACTACGCGGACAACCACCACCACCACCCCCAAACCCACCACTCCCATCCCCACCTGTCCCCCTGGGACCTTGGAACGGCACGACAATGATGGTAACCTGATAATGAGCTCCAATGGGGTCCCAGAGTGCTACACTGAAGAAGGTAACTGACTTTGTTCTAATGCTAACCACTTATCACGCACACTAGCATGCCACAGCTCAGAGCAGGGTGGCAGAGCCTGCAGGGGAGGGATGAGCGCCGCGCACAGCAAAACAGCAACCTGATGCATTTTTGGTCCCGGCAGGTTTGTCTGACAGTACCATGCCACAGCTAAGGTTGGAAGACTTAGGAAATAAAAATATTGCATGGGACATATTTATGTGAAAAAATTATTTCTTGTTGACTTAAAGTCAGATTTAACTGGGCATCCTGTGTTTACCTGGCAGCGCTTATCACAACCCAAGTCAAGAATTTAGCTGAAACTTGTGACATTATTTGTTTGGACTATCATTTCCCAAAGTGTGTTCCAATGGATATTGTAGATTAGTGATTGTAATATATATGTATATACTTAAAAGGTTCTATGATTAGCTATGTGATTTAAACAAGGTTGGATAAATTTCTTACTGTTGTAACACTTAGATCACTGAATAGTCTTGTTGAGAATCTCCAAGAAAAGGAATGTTTCCCCAGCATGTTTGGCAGCTGGGCACTTTTTTGATCAGCCCTCCTTTGGAGAATTCTAATCCTCATGTGGCTGGGCTTCCTGTGGGAGTGTGGGCTTTCCACTGGGTAAGAATGCAGGATTTTCCCTTCTTTGCTGATCTGCACTATCCTGCCATCCCTGATCTGAGTCTGTCTTCCTTCTGAAAGTGGCTTGTTCTCCCTGAAGAGCAGGAGCTAGGACGCCTTTATCCGGGTCATCGTGGAGCCCATATATCAATGTGTCGCCATCCTTTCTGCTCAGTCTCCTGCTCAAGCTACCTTGGAAGAAGTCATTCTAGATTTGCATCTGCCGTGGAGGAGATAGATTCATCTTCTTTCCCTCAGTTTGAAATGAATTGCAATGTCAACTATAAAGCTTAAGTCTTTTTAAACCAAGGCAGAGTGAAGACATTTCCTTTCAGGAATCAAGTCTGGAATTCTTGTGCAGCATTATTGACCATGATAAGCCCAATCAGTTTGAACATGAATACTGTATCCAAAATGGGAATTCTGTTGGAAGTTAGTCTTTCTGTGAAGAAGTTCCAAAGAAACGAGAAAACTTGACACATCTAAAAATTCCACACCAAAGAAACATGGAAACATACAGAGGGAGAGGAACAATGGGAAGAAAATTTCTACTCTGTCCATTGACCCAGTGAGTACAAATTTGAATTTACCTTTGAATTTCTAGTATTAAAATATGATGTTACTTTCCTTGACATCTGACTTCTGCATGCATTAATGTGTTTAATTTTAAAGGGTGAAATAGAATTAAAACATAATTAATAATTGGTTGTAAACAAAAATTGACTATTTTGGATTTGATTTTAATTACTGTTGCTATTATTTCACGTTTTATTTTGTCTGCTTTTATTTAGGCCTTCTAACATGTTCCCTTCATTTACTTTGTATTTTTGGACTTTTATTTAGCATGAAAGTCAATATTTTTCTTGGCATTTTTGTCTCTTATTTTCTTTGCAAATCATGACACATATATGTTCACTCCTGTCCAGTCTCCTGATTCCCTAGTCCAAGCTAAAGAATAGTTTTCCTCTGGACAGCATTTGAAAATAAGTACAAATCAATACAAAGTCTTAGGGAAAAGTTAAATGTGGGGACAGCAATGTATCATCCTCATATCACATTTTAATGCACTATAATTTGTTAGTTTAAAAAGATTTCCATATGGCCTTTCTTGCTTCTACTGTTTCACTAAGAACTTCATTAACATTTCTTCTTTATTGACCGTAATCATAGTTATTTTTATCTTTTAATCTTTTTAAAACACTTTCTTGATGTATGATTGGCATAGAAAAAGTTCTGCATATTTAATCCATACACGTCGATGAGTTTGGGATAAGAATACACTCACAAAATCATCATCCTGCTAAGGCCACAGACACATCCATCACCTTCCAAAGTTGCCTCCAACTCCCACTTCTTTATTGTTAGTATTATTCTTTTCTCTTTATTTGTGGTAAGAACACTCACCATGAAAGTGGTCATTTTTTGTGATAAGAAATTAAAGTTTTACTATTACAAAGATACATGCACACGTATGTTCATTGCAGCACTATTCACAATAGCAAAGAGAATCAACCCAAATGCCCATCAATGATAGACTGCATAAAGAAAATGTGGTCCATATACACCATGGAATACTATGCAGCCATAAAAAGGAATGAGATTATGTGCTTTGCAGGGACATGGATGGAGCTGGAAGCCATTATCTTCACCAAATTAACACAGGAACAGAAAACTAAACACCTTGTGTTCTCACTTATAAGTGGGAGCTGAACGATGAGAACACATGGACACAGGGAGGGGAACAACATACAATGGGGCCTGTCAGAGGGTCGGGTGGAGGAAGAGAGAGCATTGGGAAAAATAACTAATGCATGCAGGGGTTAATATTTAGGTGATGGGTTGATCTGTCCAGCAAACCACCATGGCACATTTTACCTATGTGACAAACCTGCACATCCTGCACCTGTACCCCAGAACTTAAAAACAAAATTAAAAAAAGAAATTAAATTTTAAAAATGTATTAATACTAGCTCTGTTGAGATAAAATTCATATGCCATAAAGTTCATTCTTCTAAATTTAGTGGATATTAATATATTTACAGTTGTGCAATGATCACCACTGTTAGATTCCATAATATTTTCATCACCCCAGGAGAAATTCCATACTCATCAGCAGTCAACCCTCATTCCTCCCTCCTCCCAACCCTGGAAACCACTAATGTACTTTCTTTCTCTATGGATTTACCTATTTGGGACATTTTGTATAAATGGAATCATGTCATATGTGGCTTTTTGTGTCTGGCTTCTTTCACTTAGCATAGTTGCCTTCAAGATTCATTCACATTATAGAATACATCAGTACTTCATTCTTTTTATTCCATTGTATGGATATACAGCATTTTTTCCATTCATTGGTCAGTGGTCATTTGGGTTATTTCCACTTTTTTGTTATTATGAATAATGCTGCCTTGAACATTTGTTTTGTTTTGTTCTGCTTGATCTGACTTCTCCATTGGATAATAAACTCCTTGCAGTTGAGACAATGTCTTCTGCTTCATCTCTAATTCCTTGTGGTACCTAAGTACATACCTTTGGATATCCAAGCAAGACCTTAAGGCATAGGCATTCTCCATGTCCTAAAAGCCAGTGCTTTTTTTTTTTTTTTCCCTAGGTTCTGTATCTACAGCAAATCTGATGACAGAGGGTGTACACGGAATGTGATAAGCCAGATGAACACCGTCAAGAATTTGTAGCATGACCTTGTTACAGGTTGCAGAAAAACGTCAGTCATTACGGAAAACAGACCTTCCCTACCATAGCTGGGTCTCCAGATAGAAAATATTGAGAAATGCAAACATTCATTTGAGCTGGACCAACTGTACAGTGTGCAAATATCCTTGGGTTTCAAATAGCTGTCATTTACCTTCTGTCTCTAAACTTCGACTGATAATAATTTTTTAAAAATATTTTTTAATATCTCTGGAGCAAAGGCCTTCCTTCTTTGGTGACATTTTCTACTTATTTTTTTCATGGCTACTTGATAAACTACTGAAGAGAATAAACGACACTACTGTGGTTGATGACTGGCAAATGTGTTTATGTGAAGAGGCTGAAGCTTTTCACATTGGTGCTGAGTTGGCTTGTAAAATACCCAGTTTCACATAGTTCTGAATAGTTTAAAATGGCATTCAGGTGGGCCAAAGTAAGGTGGTCAACTTTTTTTTTTTTTTTAATTGTAAATATATTTCATTACATCTGGAAGTTATTTTTACTTGGAGTCAAGATGGTTCTATTTTAGAAAATTTCTGCCTGAGTTTATTTGGTCTTAAGAAAAAGAACACTGAAATCACTCAGTAGATTGTTTACTTAATGCCAGACGACTTCACTGTCACTCATCTCAGGAAGTGAACTCGTTTGCCGGTAAACACATCATTTCTGTAGCCTGCTGCATGCACTGGAGTATTTCAGCACCTCATGGAGTTACCCGTAACACCAGAGTCCATGAAGGAAATGGTGTACTTTTCCCTTTTCTTGTTCACCCTGGGATGCAGAAACCTCACCATGTATTCATTTTTGATCCGGCCAAAAACAGTAATGAAAAGAAATGACACTGAACTGATAATGAGGAAAAGCAAGACGATATTCCTAAAGGTTAAATTGACAAGGGAAAGAAAATGGTAGGCCAGGAAACAATGGCAAGATAATCCCAAACTTTACAGGGTGTGAACCTGAAAACTGATTTGAACAAGCTCAGAAGTAATTTGTCTTGGATCCCAGGCATATTGACATTGGAATGACCGAAGGAAAGTTTGTGTTTAATAGTTTTTCATGAAATGACCATTCCACCCCTAAACGGATGGATAATTTACAACTTCTCTCTGCTTAATATTCATTGGCTGAATCAGAACACACCAGAGTCATTGCCTCAAGGACCATCTCTTGGGCCTCGGAATAGGAGCTGGGAGTTCTTACTGTGATCCCAGGAGGGCTGAACAGACCACTCGAGGCTGCCATTGCCCTTTGGGGATGGAGTTTGTTTTTATAATGTAATATTCATGTCATTCAAACTAGGTTGAAAAAGTCTGGTAGAATAATGACATAGGAGTTTATATACCTTCTACTTCAATTTCCCCTTCATTACACTGTAGAATGGTGATTCTAATAGAGCATCTTCACATCGACAAATAATTTTATTGGTTAGTTCAACTTTTAAGAAGTGGAGGCAGTTTTATGAAGTATAAAGTAAGTAGTCTTTGGAGCCAGAGTACTTGAAGTTCACATTCTGGTTTTGCTGTCTTTTACCATCTGCATGTCTCAGGCATGCTGTAAATCCTCCCAGAGCCTTGGTGTCCTTGGCTGATGTATTAGTCCATTTTCATACTGCTATAAAGATACTACCTGAGACTGGGTAATTTATAAAGGAAAGAGGTTTTATTGACTCACAGTTCTAAATGACTGGGGAGACCTCAGAAAACTTACAATCGTGGCAGAAGGGGAAGCAGGCACATCTTACATGGTGGCAGGTGAGAGGGGGAGAGAGAGAGAGAGAGCGCGAGCAAGTGTGCAGGAAAAACTACCATTTAGAAAATCATCAGATCTCGTGAGAATTCACTCACTATCATGAGAACAGCATGGGGGGAAATGCCCCCATAATCTAATCACTTTCCACCAGATCCCTCCCTGGACATGTGGGTATTATGGGGATTATAATTTAAGATGAGATTTGGGTGGGGACACAGCCAAACCGTATCAGCTGAGAAGTGGGTATTTATAAGCTCAATGTATCTCAAGGGTTTGTTGTGAAATTATCTATACATAAAAGTGGCTGATACAGAGAAGGTATCTAGAACCATCCACTAGTCACTTCTTCCTCTTTTTCCCACCTTGCCCCCTTTTAATGGTGCATTAAGTTTAGAGAGTTCTATATAATGCTGTGGGCTTCAGGTCAAAGGGAGGAAAGTAATTCCTTACAATTATTCTTTGAGCTTTAAAACCTTTTGCCTCAAGATTTTATCAGCTACAGTGAGGTGTTCTCCTTTTTACAGCTGCATCTATATACCCCAAGTAGAGAAATAGTATAATCGATTCCATTACACCTTTTCCAAAAGACTTCTGCTTAAACCACCCTGATAATGGAGGTGAAGATGCCTTTTATGCTTAAATCACTCACCTTTCTTTTCACAAGTTACTTATGCTCGTAATATCGGTTTAGTCATTACAGGAATTGTAATAGTTCTTCTAACTAGGGTTTCCTGGCTTTTCCAAAAATCACATCTGAAATTTTGTATTACATTTAAAGGATAATTCTGTAGTCAAAATAGACCTATCAGTTAGTACAGCCCAATCTGTCTGTAAAGAGAAATTTGCAATGATTGACGTATTTTTCCAAATTTCCTCTGCAAATTAGGAAATCTGGTTTATCTCCCGAGTCGGTGAGAGAGGGTGGGTAGTCAGTAGGAAGTGGAGAAGCACAGGGAACTCTTATTGGTAGAGTTTGCCAAGTTGGGATGTAGATGAGGTAGGAAATTACTCTGCTTCTTGAATATTCCAGAGGCAAGATGGAGGGGGTGGAGGAATGAAGACTGATGAACAAGGGAGTTCACACGTGAGGGGCTTTTTGTCACCATCCTGAGCACCAACCGCCCACTCTCCTCTCTCTCTCGTGACTGCTTCCTAAGAGCACCTGCTGTGGCATGAGGGGCCAGGGGACTTCCCTCGGCATCAGAGCCCTGCAGGCATGCGGGTGGGGGAGCTGAGGTGGTAGGAGGGAGGTGAGAGAGAGCTTCGGGGTGCTGAGGAATCTGGGAATGTGGAGCGGGGTGTTTGCTCCTGAAGGAGCGGGCATTTGTATCACCCTTTCCTGGGCCCAAAGGAGAGAAAGTCTGGGTTCCATGTCAGTGCTTTGATGATTTTCCTCCTGAAAAAGTTGTGGAGACTCTGGCCTTGGGGACTTGTTTTCATGACCTGCTTGAGGTGAATGAATTGTCATGCTCTGGGGCCTGCTTCTGAGAGAACCACGGAGAAGGAGCCCTGGATGACCAGTCCTTTTCTCTATCTTCACTAGATGAGTTCTCAGGCTTGGAGACCGACACTGCAGTACCCACGGAAGAGGCCTACGTTATATATGATGAAGGTACAAACTGGCTTTTGAAAAATTATTTGCACACTTTCTTTCCTAATCAAAGGATCTGATTGTAACTATTGAATGGATGATCTTGACGGAAGTTTCCTTTTGAGCTTTGGGCCGGTGGCAATGCCGAGGGCTGGCTTAGGGAAGGGTGGTTGTACCCCATGCTTCCATGTCACCCCGAATGCCTATTTGATCTAAGAAAAACAGTGTGCTTAACACGCAGATGCGGATTCCCACTTGGTCCCTGTACTCCCCGTTCCCTCGCTCTCAACCCTCCTTAGGCCCAAGGAATTCTGGAGTTATCCATCAGGGCTCCCCTTCAACCTTCATTTATAAAACTTGCTTGGTTTAACCAAGTTCAACTTCCTTACTTGGCTCTTCTCTTTCTTATTCCTTTCTTTTCTCTCCTTTTCTAATTACATAAAATATGTGATGCTTAGATCTGTTGATTTCTTATCATAGAATCTTTTCAAGGGTAAGTTTGTAAGATTAGGAACATAGGCCGGCCACAGTGGCTCAAGCCTGTAATCCTAACACTTTGAGAGGTCAAGGAGGGAAGATCACTTGAGCCCAGGAGTTCGAAAGCAGCCTGGGCAGCATAGCAAGACCCTGTCTCCACAAAAAATTAAAAAATTAGCCGTGTATGGTAGCACACACCTGTAGTTCCAGCTACTTGAGAGGCTGAGGCAGGTGGATCGTTTTGAGCCCAGGAGTTTGAGCTACGATGGCACCACTGCACTCCAGCCTGGGTGAGAGTGCAACACCCCATTTCAAAAAAATTTTTTTTAAAAAATTAAGAATACAAAGTGCCTTGGACAGCATCTGGGAGAGTCATTCAGTAAATGGTAGCTAATGGTATTATTACACTTAGGACCTTGTGATTGTTTTGTGTGATTTGGAAGTTACCTCTGCAACTTGAAGAAGTTCTTAAAGGAATCTTGTCCACATCCAGTGCCGGCCTTTGACACCAAGGCTCAGGATTCTCACTTTTGAGGTCCACCTTTTCTGCAATTATTCATAGCTCTAATTGTCTTAAATCACAACTGTGCAAACAATGTCACCTTTGATGTGTTATTTATTCATAATAAAGCTTGATGTAGTGGTTTAATCCCAAGGTTTTCAAACAAAAACTGACTTAAAGAAAAACAGCAGATGTTAGAAAGCAAACGAAGATTTTTTTTTTAGCACCTTTGAAAATACTAGGCATCTTTCTTATCTTTGAACAGTTTGAAAAAGGGGCAGAGTTTTATTTTCTTTTTCAAATGTTAAAGGATTAGTTGTTTTGGCAGGATTAATCCCACCCCCTATGCCCAGAAAAAGTTCATACACAGAAGAAAAAAAAAATTTGTTTTTGAGATGGAGTCTCGCTCTGTCACCAGGCTGGAGTGCAGTGACATGATCTTGGCTCACAGCAACCTCTGTCTCCTCTTGGGTTCAAGCGATTCTTTTGCCTCAGCCTTCTGAGTAGCTGGGACTACAGGTGCCTGCCACCACGCCCAGCGTGTATTTTTAGTAGAGATGGGCTTTCACCATGTTGACCAGGATGGTTTTAATCTCCTGACCTTGTGATCTGCCCGCCTCGGCCTCCCAAAGTGCTGGGATTACAGGTGTGAGCCACCATGCCCGGCCAAAAAAATTTTTTATGAAAAAATTCAAGTTTATTTTTTGATGTTATCTTTTATTTCCTAAAAGGGAACATTATGCAAGTAGAGCATGGCTTTGGGCCAGTGCCATGAGCTACAATGGACGGATTCTAACGTTCTCTCCAGTTGTGAGTCTAAAACCCCATTTTTCTGGTCATGTGTGTTTCTTTTTGCCCTTTCTCTCTTCTGTCTGCAGTTTCTTTTCTGCAGGGACAGAAATGGGAAGAAGTAGTATTTTAGTAGAAACAAATTATGTTTGGGCATAGCATTTATTTTAGGGTGTGTGTCTGTGTGTGCATGTGTGTGTGTCCGTCTGGGTTTTAACCTACAGCTGAATGTTAGGAAGGTATCATTTGACTATAGAAAGTGCTCCTTTTCCGGCAGTGCCCAATCACAGAGCCTTCATATCATTTCAGATTATGAATTTGAGACCTCAAGGCCACCAACCACCACCCAGCCTTCCACCACTGCTACCACACCGGGGGTCATCGCAGAAGAAGGTGCCATCAGTTCCTTTCCTGAAGAAGAATTTGATCTGGCTGGAAGGAAACGATTTGTTGGTAAATATAATGTCGTTAATCAGAGAAACATGGGTTTTAAACTTTTGGTCTTTGAAGAAGAGCATTACTAATCTCTTGGCCTGGCCAAGGCAGTGCATTTTGAGAAGTTTTCCCAGAGTGAAGCTTCCACTGGGGATAATTGAGTGAGTCAGTCGTGTGTAGATATGTATTATTTTACTTACTGCCAAAATCAGAAGAGGGGAGGATTTGGAGTCCAACAGAGGAGAGCTGAGACAGGCTGCCTTGCATAGAGTAAGAGTAAGAAACACTTAAAAACCATCTGGACCAGGGAACATGAGTGTTTTTGTTGTAGCCAGTTTATCCACGACAAGACTTACCACTGGGCCTTGTGTGTGTACTGTTTGTTAAATTCTTCCTAAAAGGTTAGCTGCTTAGTGAATTGAGCCACTAGCGCTTATAGTATCATGGAGAGGAATCTTTTTTCTTTCGTTGTTTCCTATCACTTTCATTAGCTTCAAGGATTTGGGATCTAGAAGTTCATTTTCCTCTTCTTTCTCAGTAACTAAAACAGTTTCAGTAGGAAATTCTGTGAAACTAAACGGCGTTAAGTCTTGCAAGTCTTCTTTTCCCATGCCCTTAATGAACCTCATTAATGAGACAGCTGGATTAATATGTTACTAAGTGGAGACAAGCAACAGCTTAAACTAAGATCACACTTTTCTGTTTCCAAAACAACTGTTCTGCCACGGGCAGAGAACAACTCTTGCTAGCCAAGATGTAGTGACTGAGTGTCTAAACCACACATACTTGAAGAACAAGAATGTTCATTTGAGGTGGCGTTCCTGAGGCAGACACTAACACGGGTCTCTGGTATGCAGCTGCCAGGCTGCGTTTACCACGTGCGCTGACTTCTTTCCCGGCCGTTCCATGACGGGAATTGAAATGCTTTCTGTGCTATTATTAGCCGCTCCACAGAACTCCTCTGGATGCTAAAGGCTTATTATTGTCTGGCTCTTTTCATAAGTCTACAACTCTCTAAAGCATAGGAGCCCTCTCCCCAAACTTCCTGTTAAGACCCACGGACAAGTTCTAAAGGCCTAACTTCAGACTAATTTTTAGAAAACACTGCCTTCGCTGTGTCCCAGGGACTCTGTATCTTTGCTTTCATTAGTTACAAAGAACTTCTTGACTTCTGTCTTAATTTCATTATTTGCCCAAAAGTCAAATAGAGAAGCTAAAAACTGCATTCACTCCAAATAGCCACTGAGAATGACAACACAGCCCCCAAAAGTTACAGTGGAATCTTCAGAAATTGCCAGACATTGTTACTTGAGATCACTTGAGAGTTTTGTATGTATAAAACCCCAATCCCAAGTCCTTGGCATTTCTAATTTAGTGGGATATAATAGAAAGAGTTAAGGGCTGGGGGTGACAGCCTTCTGTCGATCCTTACATAGTGAGCACTCTCAGTGTTGGTACGAGAGATGGTAACACGAGGCCATCGGTTCATATCCTGCCTTACTCCCAGGACTGTGTATCCACTGAAATAATGTATGTAGAAAAATCTTCAGCCATCTGTAAATGTGAGTAGCTGTTATACTGAGCAGTAATGTTGTAGACAGCAGTTCAGGCCTGGCCTTATGCACAGATGCTTCAGATTGTTGTGGGGGTTTAGGAAGCTCTAGGGAAGGCCACCCAGGGCTGAGGCTAAAGGCTGCATATCTTGATCAGTATACATTTTTTCCTGGTCCCAAGACAGTCAAGGAAATGAACTGTGTTGAGAGAATGCTAGTAAAGTGTTGGGTGGGCCTGACTCATCCTTTTCCAAATGTTGGGGCACAGGAATGGCAGAGAGCTGCAAGCTTACATTACACTGAATGATAGTTTCATGGTCTCTCAAAACCACTTTGAAGGCTAGTCGTTGATGTCGATGGGGCAATAGGATCTTTTGGAATGACCGGATTGAAAGACATAAACACATGGGTCCATTAAGGAGAGCTGGGGGTGTGTTTCTGAGCTTGGCATCAAGGCTGATGGGGCCTCTGTCCAGCAGGGAGAGACCCAATGGTGGGTCTGATTCTGAGGAGCAGATGCTGTGTTTCTGCCTCCAGAAAAAGCCTCCAGCAATCCAATTGGATATCTCTGTTCTTTTCCAGCTCCTTACGTGACATACCTAAATAAAGACCCATCAGCCCCGTGCTCTCTGACTGATGCACTGGATCACTTCCAAGTGGACAGCCTGGATGAAATCATCCCCAATGACCTGAGGAGGAGTGACCTGCCTCCCCAGCATTCTCCCCGCAACATCACCGTGGTGGCCGTGGAAGGCTGCCACTCATTTGTCATTGTGGATTGGGACAAAGCCACCCCAGGAGATGTGGTCACAGGTGTGTCCTAGGCAGATATCAGAGTTCCCATGATCTGTAGGTGGGAAATGTGGACAATAAAGAATGATGGATGAGTGGATGGGTGCATGCATGGATGAGTAGGTTGGATGGATGAATGGGATGATGGGTAGATGTCTTCCTTCAACTGGATGAAATATAGGCAACAATAGCGGCCTCATGGGGTAGGGTAAGGAGTACTGGATGGAAGTCAGAAGTCCTAAATCCTTGTCCCAGATTGATTTGCATGATCTTGAGCTCAGTACTTCATCTTTCTGGGCCTTGGTTTCCCCATATGCAAAACATCACTACATCTCTAACATCCTGTAATCTTGCAAATGGCCAGGGAGTTCAGCTAGCTCTTTACCGGATCAGATCCTGCAGTGAGCGTGACCATGAGCTCCCACTGGGCCACACAGCTGTCCCTTGTTGGAGTCAGCCCTGGGCTTGTGCCTCTGCCTCTTTCTCTCCTTTCACATCTGCTGGGTGCTTCCAGACAAATCTGAGTGCTTCTCGGTTCCTTACGTGGGAATTGGAGGTGACGAAAAAATGCCCGAGGATCTTGAGCCTCCTTGGCCTCTGAGATGTTTAAGTTCACTCTGCCAAGGACATATTTGAAGATACATCTTGAAATTTAAGTTCTTACAGAAAGAGAATTGATATTTTCTGTGAATAGTTGCAAATTTTTTTTCTGGGCCTCTGAGCTGTGCAAAAGGAAGAAGTATGGCTGTGGCTGTGTGTGTCTCTGACTGGGAGGTAGCAGTCGCATTAGAGGTCAGAGTTCGACATTCTCTGCCATTATTGTGCTAGTGCAGTTCGTATAATTCAAAATTTCTAGTGCTTGTCTTGGTGTTCCCACTATTATATCTCACAATGAAAAAATGTGTCCAAGAATATCCAAAGAGCATCTTCTCTTGTGGAATTTGTACAGCAGTGCAAATGCTAGAATAAGGGACATAGAAAAGAAGGCTTCTGGGTGTTCTGCCAGGTGAGACTGAAAGGCCTGGGGTGCAGGGAGGGCATGGGATTAAGGAGTTCGAGTCTTTAGTGGAACTGAAAGTACAGTACTGGGTAGGTGCTACACGGACCGCCGTGAAGTCCGTGGTGTTCCGAATAGAATGCAAATCAATCAATGGAAGGAGGAAAGCTTGTAATCAAACAGCCAGAACATCTTTTTATTAATTGAACACACTTCTGTGAATGGTAATTTTTAAAAGCAAGCAAGAAAGCATACAGAAAAAATAATTTAAAACCTTACTTTAAGCTGTTTAGCTTTTGACCTCTTGCATAAACAGATATTACTTAACATAAATATATCACTGCACCCTGATTCAAGGGGCTTCTAAGAAACATTGGCTGCAGTATGAGAGTGCCTTGGCCCCATTAAACGTGCCTCAAGGGTTCTTGCAGTGAAGAAGGAGCTTTCAGGGAACTCTCGACAGATGTCCCTGAGATTTAATTCAGATGTAATTTCTGTATTGTCCTGTAGAGGTCGGGCTTCTGAAACACCCATGCCCTTTAAGGGCGTTCCAAGCCATTCAAAGCTCCCTGAAGCCTTATAGTGTCCTCACATGCCCCACCCTGCACCTCATCCGAAATGAAACCTCAGAGCCCTAATCATGAGTACTCACGACACTAGCATAAATAATATGGATGAGGTATTTATAGGGCACTCCCAACACAGAGCTGTGCCAACTCCTGGCAAGCTGATTACTGTAGAACACTGCAGCATATGACGCCCTGTGGCGTGGGGGAAAACACCAGACTCCACAAGGCTCAGAGAGAGAATAGCGGCAGCTTGTCATCCATTAGTGAACCAAACACCGGCTCTTTCACCTGCAGAACAACTAAGCCAAGTGGATACATCCTCAACTTAAACGAAGCATCACATTATCGGGCCCCCTGCAGGGCATCTGAATCCTGCTGGCTACATGGATGTTGTGTGCTCTGCTCGTTTTCACCTGCCATTCTTTCTTTCACAAGCAGTCGAGTCAATGTGTAATGAGGTGGTGCCCAAACAGTGTGAAACTCCTAGAATTCCTGCCTGCAACCTGTTGCTTTCCCACATCACTCCTGAAGAATGAAGTTATTACTTTATTAGGAGTGATTCTGTAGGAAATCACCAATGTGATGACCTCTTAGTTTTTCAGGACCAGCTCATCAGTCACTTTCAGGACTGGTTTTGATGAGAACAACAGAGAAATCAGGAGTTATGCTGTGCTCAGCAAGCGCCTTATCAAAACCCCAAAGCCCTCAAAACCCAGACACAGGATCAGCCGAGAAACCAGCCCCTTACATGGGAAGCGCGGGGTTCTGATGGAAGCCAGAGGTCCAAGAGTCTGAGCTTTGCCAACTCCATTGGAAGCCGGGTTTCCGTGGCACACATGTGACCTCCATTCCCTCTGGGGTGGGCCATTGTGTGCAGCACCAGCTGAAGCATACAGGGCTTGGCTACACTGTGCCAGAGGGGAAATGCCGTGGGGAGGGCAGCAACTCTTCCCAGGTTCAATGACCCTCCTCCAGGGAACAGTGTGGGGAGGGTTCCAGGGTCCAGTTCACCTGGCTTCCAGGCCCAGCTTGCCCGTTTGTTAGTTGTGTGACACTAATCAGTGTCATGTGATGTGACACTAATCAGATCGTAGGGTGCTAAATAAAATCACATGCACCTCTTAGGTACATTTGATGTTATTGATCTTTTCCTTCTTAACTTGTGTGATCTCTCTCAACCTCTTCATCTCCTCCCAGGCTTGTACAACATTCAGTGGTGGAATTTCTCATGGCTTGGTCCTGGGGCCTCTTTTCTTCTTGCTCTGTCTTCTCTCCCCTCAGAGTCTCATCCATGCACACGGTTTTAATTCATCTCAGAAATGAGTCATTGATTTGTATCTCAAGGCCAGGCCATCATCCTCTCCTCTGAGCCCCAGATAGTAAAATCAGATGCAAATGGTAAAATCACTTGATGTCATCACTGGGATGTCTCCAGAGCATCTCAGACTTGGTGTATAAAAAATCAGACTCATCCTGGCTAACACGGTGAAACCCCATCTCTACTAAAAATACAATAAAATTAGCCAGGCACGGTGGTGGGCGCCTGTAGTCCTAGCTACTCGGGAGGCTGAGGCAGGAGAATGGCATGAACCCAGGAGGCGGAGCTTGCAGTGAGCCGACATCGCGCCACTGCACTCCAGCCTGGGCGACAGAGTGAGATTCCGTCTCAAAAAAAAAAAAAAAAAAAAAAAAAATTCAGACTCACGATCCTTCCCATTCCCAAATCTGGCCCTCATCTGTGTTTCCCATCTCGGAGAACTGTCCCACTTTCCACACATTTGCTCAAGCCTGAAGCATCTTCAAGTCTCCTTCTATCTCACTTCTATATTCAACTCATCGTTAAATCTGGTCAGTGTTGCCTTCTGGATTCTTCTTGAACCCATCTATTTCTCTCCATTAGGTGGTGTGCTCATCTAAGCTATTGCCACCTCTCACCTGGCTACTGTAAGAGCTGTCTAACTAGACTGTCCCATCCACGTCTGCACTCCCACACCCAATCCATTCTGCCTTCTGCACAGGAGAGATGTGTTGAATATGCAAACCTAATTGTCTGGTTTAATGTCTTAACTGTCTTTCCCTTTCTTTTGGAATGAAAAGCAAAAGCCTAGCTTGGTCCAAGGGTGCTGCCTAGTTTTCCCACCTGTGCTGCTTCAGCCCCAGCTCATGCCCCCGCTTCCCGCCACTTAGGTTTCCAGTCACACTGCCTTCTCCTGCGTCCTCCCTCTTCAGTGTCTTGCCCAGGATTCCCACTACCTGGAATCCGTCCCATCTCCTACCACACAGCTTATCTGCTTCTTATCCTTCAGATGCCAGCTCCTTTACCGTGACCCCAGGGAAGCTCTTTGTGTCCTCCATGGTGGGCCAGCTCCCGCTACACACCCTCTCACAGCACTGTGGACTGGTCCTGCAGAGTGCTCAACCTGGCTGTATAATTCTGTTTCCCAGTGCACCCTGCTGCTTCATGAGCTCTTGGTCACCACTTTATCTCCAGCACTTAGTATAATGTCTGGCAACTAGTAGTTGCACAACAAATATTTGTTGAATGAATCAATACATGTGAACTTAGACAAGATATTTAATCTATTGCTAAGACTCAGTTTCCTCTTGTGGCAAAATGAGGAAGGCAATACCTACATACTAGGATCATGAGGATTAATCAAATCAAATTCAATCGAGAGTACCTAGTTAGCATAATGTTTGGCACAAAGGAAGCGCTTGGCAAATGTTTTCTCCTTCTGTGGACACATAAGAGACCTAGGGTACGGGACGCACTGAGCTGTGGGAAGCACTTCACTTTGCCTCCTGGGAGAGCTGTAAAGGCTGGGCAGGTGTCAGGGTCAAGGTCACACCGGCTGAGATCTGTTATTAGCAAGTAAGACGGAGCAGGTTGGACAATAGAAAGAAGAGCTGCCTCACTGCTGTGATTAGACCGTGAGGGCAAGGGCAGCACAGATACTCAGCAATGAGAAATAGCAGGACAGCCTTCACCAAATGGGCACGGGACCCCTGGGCATCTGGGATCTCTCAGCCCCACACACATGCACAGCATCCACTAGCAACATTCTTTGTTTCCTGTGCAGGGCAATAGGAAGCTCTTAAATACATGTGTGGAGGGTACTGCTTTTTTCTTCTGCTGCTTTTTTCTCTGTGTGGTCAAGATGAGACGTGATTAGTTTTGAGATGATGGGGAAAGCTGGGGAATGAACAAGAGAAGTAGGGGGCCAGCAGGTCGTCAGGAAGTGTCTTCATTTTGTCATCCCCATCTGGATTCAGCAGAAGGTACCAGCGTTCCGTCCCATCCTGTCCTACAGTGCTGCATGCCCTCCTTCCTGCAGTTCCCACATGGAGCTGCATCTGCAGCTTTGCCTCACTCCTGTCCTCAGTGGGTTACATCTTGTGTGTGACTTGGTTCCTTGGTGCCCATTAGGTTCTTTCTTGTTTCCATTTTCAGGTTACTTGGTTTACAGTGCATCCTATGAAGACTTCATCAGGAACAAGTGGTCCACTCAAGCTTCATCAGTAACTCACTTGCCCATTGAAAACCTAAAACCCAACACGAGGTATGATGTGTCAGTCATTTAGAAACAAAAGATTAGAGCTGTGTGCATGGTTGCTGATATGCTTTGGTTGGAAATGAAGGGAGGAATCAAAATGTTTTTGTGATTTCTTTGAATACTCTATTTAGTTCTAGTAGAAGTCAATGCATGCTTACCATATGCATATAAGTTTCTTAGAAGAAATGACTGTATGTATTGTCATTGTTAGGCTACTGTGCTTATATTTTCCTCTCTGTTTACCTGCCATTAGGGAAAGAAGAGTTGTTCTCTGTGTTGAAAGAATTGGTCCATTTTTCATCCCCAATATTGTGGCACTAGGCATCGTAACCTTCATAGGTGAAAATGGAGCCGCAATCACAGAACACTTTAATGAACTGGTTCCCAAACTGTATGATGTAGAAGTTCACATCATTCAAGAAAGATGCATTTTACACATTGGTAGAGGTTATAAGCATGGCTTCATAAATTAGGCATGGCTGGCCAGGGAATCATTTTGGAAGCCAGAGTTTATGGCCCTTGGCATGAAATAGGCAAAACTAGTTCCCAGGGGCACAAAGAGGGTGACTGTTCATTCCCCTTTTATGCCTTCTGGTTTTGGTGGTAATGACCTTCAGAAAGCTCCCGGGTGGGTGAGCATGGGAAAGCACCAAGCACTTGATGGTCAAGAGTGGTGTGCTGGTAAACTGGCTCTCTGGAAAAAGAGTTCCCTGGTTGATACCATTAGCCAACTTCTGTGGTGTAAATACTCCCACCTCTGGCCAATTTTAAGCCACCGTGGGCTTGCGGAGTTCCTGAATACTTAATGACTGGCTCTCACAAGCTGGTACAAGTGGGTCCAGCAGACCTCTGTTGTGGGGAGCCACCATATTTGCTTAGCAAAGAGCTCAAAGTGAGGTGATGGCACACCCGAGGCCTCTCATTTTCTACACAGGCCGAGGAACGTGGAGGAGGTTGGAACAAAATGGCCCTCATTAGACAGGCATGTGGTAAAGGGGGTAGAATCTGGACACCAGCCGTGGGCACCGAAATGCTGCTGAATGAGCTGTGAATTTTCCTCAAGACATTTTAACGTGCCATTTGGGCCCACTTGAGCTGAGCTTTCATAAATTATTATGAATTTTGGGATTTGGCAAATAAAAAGCAAGTAGTAAACCAGGAAGCTGAGAAAGCAGTTTTTTGGTTTTTTTTTGCTTTTCCCTAGTAGTAATGGCAAATTAATTTTTTAATCAATTAGATAAAACAAAACCAAGAAAATTAGAGAAAATGGAGTCAATGTCCTTTTTTCTTTGCGTGTGCAGAGTGACAATGCTTTTGCAGCACAGCCTCAGTATCAAAAAGCAGAAAGAGGCCTTCCAGAGGCCTTGCCACAGAGCTAATTACAATAGGATCTGAATCACAGCCTCCTGACTCGCCGAGTCTAGCGTTATTTCCACAACTTCTGCTGCCAGACTGATGTTGAGTTTTGAGTCATGTCAGGAGGGTTATGTAGGGCAATGGTTTACTCATTCTTTCAACAGGTATTAGAGAGTGTGCACGGCTCATTCAGTCAGTCCTTACTACACACTTCTTGAGTGCAAGATGGAACATCTGGGCTGGGCTGGGGAAAATACACATGGCCCTGCCCTCGAGGAGCTTACAGTCTGGTAGAAGAGGCAGATTTTTAAAAAACCAACGTAAATATAAACCACCCCGAGTGGGTGTTGTGAGGGAGAAGTACACCATGCTTTGAGAGTATATAATGGGGGGATTTTTTTTCTTTGTGAGCTTGGGGATAGAGGGGAGTCAGACAAGGTTCTCTGGGAAAGTAAAATCTGAACCATAAGAATCAGTCATCCTGCAGAGTAGGCTGTGCTCCCAGCAGAGAGGATGCCTTAAAGAAGGGTGTGCCCTAGGAAACAAAGGAGGCCAATTTGGAGGAAGGTTGAGGAGAGGCAGGACAGAGAGTGCCAGGGGCCCTTGGGTTGGCCCCACACACACTCAGCACCTTGAGGCAGAGGAGGAACTGCAGCTGCTAATCTCCCTCTCCTGAGGTGCCCACCAGCTTATGTGCTCTTCTGGTAGAGACACTCACAGCTCCTCCTGCATTTCCTCAAAACCCGTCTGAGCAGCTGCTAAATTTTAGAGCTAGGAAAGTGCAAGTGTGATGTAAGGACACTCATTTGCCCCTGTGTCACCGGAATGCAGATCATCTCCAGGGAACTCACTTTGGTCGTCTCAGTCCTCATGGGGGCTCGCTTGAGAAACCAGCTTCTGAGTCAATCCAGGGGAGACCAGAAGTCAGTCTACCCCAAAGAGGCGCCAGGGCATAAAAGTGAGCTTTGGTTATTTACAATTGAATCTTGCTTTTGACTTTAAGTGAGCGTTGTCTACCTTAGACACCAGACAGAGTCCCAAAGAACTCTTTGGAGTCTGCGTATTTTAAATCCGTACTTAAAACACACAGACTTGTCACAATTGAGGCTGTTCGAAAGAAGGTGCCAGAAGCTTAAGAGGGCGAGGCATGGATTGCTTTTGTTACTTGGCTGAGGCAGAGACTATTCAGAGTATGAAATGTATACTTGAGCCCATCGACAAAGTTTCATGTGAGTTTTAAAAATGGAATGTTAACTTTTTGCATAATTTCATGTTGTTTTCCAGCTCAGCATATTTAAATTTACTTTGACACCTTAGGTGAGGTTCTAATGGGAATATGTCTTTGGAATGGTCACTTGTGAGTTTCTGGAGGCCTAGAATCGTTGTATCAACAGGGAAGGTAGATTTTGAGAATATTTAGGTTTCAGGGTCAAAACAAAATTGATACAAACAGATCCATCTGAATAGTGCTTCTCAGCCCATCAGTCACCCTTCTGCCACCTCCTTGATAGCATAGAAGCACTTCCTTCCATAAAGTTGACTACTCAGCAGAAGTGTCCCATGGAGCCCCTGAGTATGCATCCTTCCTTATGTTTTAATTTCCTTTTTTTAAGCGAAAAAAGTATCTGTAAAGTTTGCCCAGGACCACAAATGTATGCCAAACCCACTGCTCAAACTGCCTGCAGAATTTTGCCTTAAATAACTCCACAACCACTGCATAAAAGTATGCGTCACTGGGAAAACACGAGCTGTGAAGTGAATTGAGATTTGGAAACTCATATGTTCTTAATTGTGCATATCTTTTTATTTAAATTGCAATAAAAAAGAATACTCCTAAATAAGATGCAAATGGCTTAGGAAGACTAATTTTACCCAATGGCTTTTCTTTGCTTTCTGTTTAATCAAACCCAAAGTAAAATATCTCTTTTCTGAGGCCAGAGACGGCCTTGGTGATCCAGCAGCTCAGAAGGCTTGAGGCCAGGGCTGTTGGTACAGTAGGCCTAATAACCCTTTGCTCTCTGAATATGAATAGTTCACTTTTTAAAAATGTAGTGCATTTTAATTAGTACATAGAATCTGTGTGCCTGACTTAATCAAATAAATAATTTTATAACATTTAAGTGTGACATTCTTACTGGCCAAAAGCCAGAGAAGAGGTCCCTTATGAGCCCTCTAAAATGACAGAGCCACCAGGGATTCTTTACCTCTCTTTTCATCTGTAAGTAGCTGAGCACTAAAAGAGCATGTAAAATGTCTAGAATCAAGAGGTGAGGAAAGCACAAAGATTAAGATACAGTGGGACGCAAGTGTGGTGTTGGTCTTTATTACTTCTCTAAACACCATTCTTTTTCTTTTGCTTGCAAGAATGCCAATAAGATGCTTCGAGACTCAGTCTCCCTCCAGATGAGCTAGTTGACTCAGGCGGCGTGCTTTCCAGCACATTCGCTCTTCCAAGACAAAGTTTATCCCTACAGAAAAGCCTCTCTCTCTGGATCTTTCCCTCTTTCCCTTCTTGGACTTGTTTCTCTTTCCTTGAGACGCAGAAGCTCATAACTTAGTGACTTTTAAGGTGGTCCCTTCCCAGCTCCAGAGCCAACCACAGCATTTCTCAGTGCACCCAAGACACCATTGCCGTGTTAGCTTCACTGAAGAGGCAGCCTCCAGCCCGGTTCATCCTCTCCCTGTCAACCCTAAGTTGTGTGGTTGCTGGAGCAAACGTCCTGCTCTTCTACATGGCTTCCAGGGATATAATTAGGTTATAATTTGAATTCTGCTTTGTAGTGTTATGCTCCACCACCCTCTCTCTACTGGGCTGTGGAACTGAAGCAGAGACCACAGTCTTAAACCTGAGTGAGAGCAGGACTAGAGGAGCATCTCACCAGGGATGAGCTCAGGAGAGCCTGCACAGAGCAGGGACAGTCCTGATGCGAAGGAACGCGTGGTCACCAAGCAACCTGTGTTGTAATATGTCCCTATTCTATTGCTATTAGCACGAAGGAACACATGCTCACCAAGCAACCTGTGTTCTAATATGTCCTTTCTATTGCCGTTAGCCATGTGTCTCTGCTATGTTAATTGTATTATTTAGAGAATTTATTCAAAACTGAAAAAGTTCAGAAAAAACATGAAGAATCACTAGTGCTGTGTGCATTTGTAAAAATTAGAACTCAAAGCCTGTCACAGTTTAGGTGTTCAGCAGTTTAGGAGTCTGTTTCATTACACAGAAGTCAAATACACGTTTCTTTCAAAATATATTTTCTTCCAACTTCAGGTATTATTTTAAAGTGCAAGCACAAAATCCTCATGGCTACGGACCTATCAGCCCTTCGGTCTCATTTGTCACCGAATCAGGTATGAATGACTTCACATTCTGATTTGTTTTACTTTTCTAAAAAATGAAATAAATAATCTAGAATGATGGCTACAATAGAATAAATACTTACTTTTCTATTTAATGAGCTCATGTTGGATATCTGTTTCTAAAGTAAACATTATTTGCTTTGTGTTAGGTTAAAACTTGGATAATAAAATTAAAAGTAGTTTTCATGGGCTCTGTGAGGAACAGAAAGGTCAAATTCCAATGAAAGGAAAAAAATCTAGATTTCAACAACATGGGAAAGATAAAGTTGACTCTCTCTGTACAAAATTAGTTGCAGAGTTTAAAAAAAGTTATTGCAAGCACCTGAAGAACACACATGTCATGTGGCTGACAGGCAGTTGCCTCTCCAATGAACCAAGACATTGGATGCCTCCTTTAGTAGAAGGCAGAGATATCTTTAATTAATATTGAGGTTAATTACAATATCCAGTCTTACAAGCAGTATCATTCAGAGCATGCCCTTGCATTTTGGGGTGCTGGTGGGCAAAGCTCTCAGTCCCTGCAAGAAAATGTTCCTGGTCAGGGGTGGTGGCTCATGCCTGTGATCCCAACACTTTGGAAAGCCAAGGTGGGAGGATCTCTTGAGACCAGGAGTTCAAGACCAGCTTGAGCAACACAGGGAGGTCCTGTCTCTACAAAAAAAATTTAAAATTAGCCAGGCATGGTGATGCATGCTTGTAGTCCCAGCTACTCAGGAGGCTGCAGAGGGAGGATGGTTTGAGCCCAGGAGGTTGAGCTGTAGTGAGCCGTGATCACACCACTGCCCTCCAGCCTGGGTGACAGAGTGAGAGCTTGCCTCTGAAAACACAGTTCCTATGGCCTATGGTCTAAGGTAGCACATGCAGAGCCAGCTACTGTGATAGTTCTTGGCCTAGAGACTTTTCCATGCAGGAAGCCAGGCTGAGTTCAGAGCAACCCAGCTGAGCCAGCCCTACACCCAGCTTCCATTTGGCTAGATGACCTTCTACATGCAGCCTGATCCCAGAAAATGGGTCATTGGAAGATATTTTTAAGTGTCATGATTTAAAAATCTACTGAGTCAAAATAAATGAAAACATAAAATCTTTTGTAGGAATATACTTTATACCAGAAATGTAGGCAAAGGACCTCAAACATATTTTCATCTCTTTATTTAAGAAATATGTTTCTGTTAGTAATTAGGAAAGAGCAAGAGAAAACGATTATCTGTGGTTAATTTGCTAAAGTAAGGGATGTGTCTGTGATTATGACTGCATTTCCTAAAAACAAGGTGGACCTTGGCAACTATCAGAATCAACATGAAAAAAATGTTAAAAAAATTTCAAATCCAAAAAGCTGTCAAGAAACTCCGATCTGAAATCTTTCTGAGAGTAAAAGTGATACACACGTAACTTCTGGAGCTGCAATCTAAAGTTTTGATAAAACAGCTGTCTTCTACCTTCTCCTCCAAGAAAAACTAATTCATTCTTTATGGCCTCCAAGGGGTGGGTGAGGAAAATTCAAGGCCCCACCCTACCATCTGAATAAGAATCTCTCTAGGAAACGCTTTCAATGAGCTCCCAGAGGAGCCGCACACACATGAAAATTGGACAGTTACTTGCTCTGGTCATCTTCCTTTATTCCATCAGTTTGTTCAAGTTTCTCCTTCTTTTTGTGCTACTCTGCTGAAAATGGTTAGGTGAGCAACAGGAACGACAGGAAAACGATAAAGTCAGTGAATTATGGCGTTTGCCAAACATAACAATCTGAAAATTAATACAGAAAGTAAACGTAGTGTGTGACACAGGCTGTGCCATGAGGTCAGGTCTTGTTTTCTGTGCTGGTGTCATTTTGTTTGTTTCCCTCCACCTGCCCTGGGATATTTGGGACTTTTTTGGCAGACTGTTGAACTTCAGTTCAGAGCAGGGGAGCAAAGCAAGCATTGGACACTTATGGCTATGGTGTGTCCCTCTATTTTGTGGCTAGCAGAGGGCATCAGAACAAATGGTCTGTACAAAGTGCAGGCTAGGGAGATTAGGGGGTGATGTAAATCTTTTGCATGCCGATTTTGGTAGGATTCCATGAACCTATGCAGGTGTGAACATTCATAGGAGAGATACTGTAAAAGAACAATTTACTGTATGATAATTTTTCAAAAATAAAAAAAAAAAGAATCGTCCAGATTTACCTAGTTCATGATATTTTATAAAAATAAACTTTTTTGGCCAGGCACGGTGACTCACGCCTGTAATCCCAAAACTTTGGGAGATCGAGGTGGGCGGATCACGAGGTCAGGAGATCGAGATCATCCTGGTTAATACAGTGAAACTAAAATACTAAAATACAAAAAATTAGCCAGGCATAGTGGCGGGTGCCTGTAGTCCCAGCTACTTGGGAAGCTGAGGCAGGAGAATGGCGTGAAGCCAGGAGACGGAGCTTACAGTGAGCCACTGCAAGATTGCGCCACTGCACTCCAGCCTGGGCGACAGAGCGAGACTCCATCTAAAAAAAAAAAAAAAAAAATTAGCCAGTCGTGATGGTGGATGCCTGTAATCCCAGCTACTCATGAGGCTGAGGCAGGAGAGTCGCTTGAACTCAGGAGGTGGAGGTTGTGGTAAGCCGAGATCATGCCATTGCATTCTACCCTGGGCAACAAGAGCGAAACTCCATCTCAAAAAAACAAAAAACAAAAACAAAAAAAACCCAAAAAACCACTTTTTCTGAAGCAGAATTCCTTAAAAAGCTAGTGTCATATTTTTCTTAAATTGTGTTACTTGGGCTAAGGTAGAGACAGGTTTTACGTTTGTTGAGGTATAAACGCCATACAGTAACCTGAACATACTTGAAGTGTACATCTTAGTATATTTTGGGTTGTGCTTATACCCATGAAGCCATTGTCACTGTTAAGATAGCATATCCATCTCCCGACAGTTTCCTCCTGCTACTGTGCAATGCAGCTTTCCCAGGCCCCTTCTCTCTCCAGTTTATAGGCAACCATTCATCTGCTTCTTGTCACTGTAGATTAGTTGGCACTTTCTAGATTTGGGTATCAGTAGACTCATACGGTATGAACTCCTTTGACTGGCGTCTTTCACCTAGCATCATCATTTTGAGATTCATTCAAACCATTGTGTGTATCAGTAGTTCACTCTCTTTTACTAGTGAGCAGTATTTCCTTGTATGGCTGTGCTACAGTTTCTTTACCTAGTCAGATCACCTGTTGATAAACACTTGTGTTGTTTCTACTTTTTGACGATTACAAACAAAGTTGCTATAAACATTTATGTGGAAGTGTTTGGATGGACATATGTTTCCATTTCTCTTGGATAAATGACTGAGTGGAATGGATGGATTGTATAGTAGGCGTATGCCCACCTTCTTAAGAAACCACCACACTATTTTCTAAAGGTAGACAATTTTTAAAAATAAGTACTGAATTATTTTGTAATACATAATATCAAAACCTTATTATTTTCAGGGATCCACAGCTTCTAGGTAAATAGCAACATGCTCTAACTAGAAAACAGTATTTCTCCAAAGGCAATCTTTAGAAAATAAAACCGAGGAAAACGTTGGCATCTATCAAATCTTATCTTTTTCTTTATTCTAATTTGGTTAGCTCTTTCAGTTACACTAACCGTTTAAAAAACTGCATGATTGTGAAATATGGCACCAAGTCCATTATTTCTTTTTCGTTCTACAGATAATCCTCTGCTTGTTGTGAGGCCCCCAGGTAAGTCTGTCTTCTTGATAATCTGGACATTCTGGTAATCAAGTTGAATATTGAATATGAGATTGTTGTGCACAATTAGAAAGTCTGGACCATTTTCACAATTTTCTGTCAACTTCTATGCTTTCCTTTCACTCTTCATCCTGATCTTCTTTACTCTATGGGAAAGAATGACCTGGGAATTTAAAAATAGAGCCATAGCAATCAACATGTATGAAAAAACATTATGGAGTAGCCAGTCCTATGAAACAGATACTTTATTTTCATGACTCATTTGAATATTTTAAATCACTGAAAAGGTAGCAAAGTGCAACAAGTAAAACAACAAGTTTTACTTTGTTTTTCAAGGAAATTGAGAAAGCTTTGTTGCTTAAGTGCAAAACAGGTCTTCTGAGTGGCAAGAAGTGGAGTCCATGCAGAGGGACCTGGGGACAGGATGGCATGCCCCCAAAGACAAATCTGCCATTACAGTTTATTTTCCTTGCCGTTTAAAGACTTCTTAACTCTGAGAATCCCTTATTGAAATGTGAATACTTTAAATATGTTCAGGTAAAAATAATGCCCCAAATGTACTTTAATACTGAAAAAGATAGAGAAAGAGAAGGAGGGTGGGAAAATTTTGCTCAAAAAATGTCCTGCAAGGCCAGGCATGGTGGCTCACACCTGTAATCCCAGCACTTTGGGAGGCCAAGGTGGGCGGATCGTGAAGTCAGGAGTTCGAGACCAGCCTGACCAATATGATGAAACTAAAAATACGAAAATTAGCAGGGCGTGGTGGCGTGCACCTGTAATCCCAGCTACTCAGGAGGCTGAGGCAGGATAATCCCTTGAACCCGAGAGGCGGAGGTTGCAGTGAGCCGAGATCGTGCCACTGCACTCCAATGTGAGTGACAGAGTGAGACTCCATCAAAAACAAACAACAAAAACAACAAAAAACAAAAACAAACAAACAAAAAACAAAGCCCTGCAAGGAACGGAAGGCCCAGGAAGGAAGTCCAGTTTCCTGGCACTTTGTGAGAGCAGACACACCATGGAGTGCTTACCCTTAGCAGGTGTGTTTTGTGTTGTCAAGGTGGTGAGCCTATATGGATCCCATTCGCTTTCAAACACGATCCCGGCTACACGGACTGCCATGGGCGGCAATATGTGAAGCGGACGTGGTATCGAAAGTTCGTGGGAGTTGTTCTTTGTAATTCACTGAGGTATAAAATCTTCCTCAGTGACAACCTGAAAGGTAAGTCTTTGTGCATGGTTGGCTATGGAAGGTATGTAACGTTTTGATTTTATCAAGTACTAACAGGTGCATCGGAATGTTTATGAGGGCTGGAACTACGATTATGGCTCACTCTGCCTCTAATGCAAACCAGTTTTACAGATTCTACTTTGAGGATACTAGTTTTTACACTGGCAACCCGAAAATATTTTAAAAGATTTAACATGTTGGCTGGGCACAGTGGCTCACACCTGTAATCCCAGCACTTTGGGAGGCTGAGGTGGGTGGATTACTTGAGATCAGGAATTCAAGACCAGCTTGGCCAACATGGTGAAACCCCTCTCTACTAAAAAGAAATAAAAAATGAACAAATGAAAAATTCACTATGTCTTAGGAATGACTGGCTGTGAGATTCCAAAATTCTGTTAGAAATCTAGGGTTTTTTTTCCACTAATAGAATAATAATGAGTACGAGCCCGAGCTGGAATAATTGAGGCAAAGTTTCCTCCCAAAGCCCCTGCCACAGCCACAACTTTACAGAGAAAAAAATGCACATGGTGGAACATATATCGGCAATAATATCTGTTCTGTGTCCTAATAAAAATCACATTGTTTTTATCATGGTAGGGGATTAAAACAAAGAATAACCCGAGTGCCTTGAGCTACTAACACTTCCAAATGCGATTTCTATTCAGCTGGCTTTTCACTCACCCACCTACACAGCAAACTTGTTTTTTATTTTAAAACTTGCACAATTTAAAATTTTTCAGCGTATACATAGTTAAAACTTTACCTCAGGTTGTCTACATTTTGTCATTGGTCAAAAATATATTTTGAGTGTTTTTTTTTTCTTGTCAGCAGTTATCATTTAAAAACTGTCAAAACAAAGTCCCCCCCTTCAACCCCAACCCTAGCAATTTCTGTGTATATGCTTCTCCCAACAAGCACAGTCTGTCTCTCTCTCTCTCTGCTCTTTTCTTTCTCTTCCATCACTGTCCTTTTCCTCCCCTGCTTCAGAATTCCTAGGAGAGGCTGCATAACCATGTGTCATATCCCAGGATTGGGAGAAACAAGTTTGTCCTACTGTGCAGCGAAGACTCAGGACCATGGACAGCGTCTCATACCACAGGCCCGCCCCCTCCTAGTTACACACGAAAACAGATTCTTCTATTTGTATAGACTTTCCTGCCTTTCATAATAATTTCATGATGTATTCTCCAACTACCATAGTTTTCATCATTCCTTGTTTTTAGAACTAAGGAATAGAAAGGTCTACTCGAAACTGCCTATAGTGTTAATGCTGTAGTTCCCACTTACTGGACATTCATTAAGGATTTAGCATACTTTGATCTTGCTGAATTCTTACAACGTTTATGAGATTGGTGCCGTTGTCACCATTTACAGACATGAAAAGTATAGCACACACAGTTTAGGTAATATGCTCAATTCAAATGGTCTCCAAAGCTTGTGCAAACTCTTAAACCAGTTGTGCCATTCTGTACCTAGTCACTGACTCAATCAATTCCTTCATGCAGATACATTCTACAGCATTGGAGACAGCTGGGGAAGAGGTGAAGACCATTGCCAATTTGTGGATTCACACCTTGATGGAAGAACAGGGCCTCAGTCCTATGTAGAAGCCCTCCCTACCATTCAAGGTAATGCAAACAAATGCCTGATATATTACCCTGGGAGGTGGGAGAGAAGGATTAATAGAGGGGGAAAATCCACAGTAGGTCTGCCTTTGCCTTGTCATTTGAAGATGGATGTTGGGAGCACTTAAGGTCATAAAAATAAAAATAAAGAATCAACAAAATACTTCCATTATGTATGGGTGAGGGGTGAGCCTCAAGGAGGGGGGAATGGTGTGAACAAAGGTACAGAGAAGGCAAAGATAAACACACATGCAGACCCACCGTGATATGTTTCAGGAGGTAATGTATAAGCTGTTTGATTGTGGCATTATAAGGTGAAGACAAATACACTAATCTCAAAAGTTAACAATTTAATGTTATTAACTCTCTTGCCTCCAAATGAATAAACAGAACAACTGAATACAGTCTAGCCTTTTCATTATGCACTCAGCTCTGAGTGATCAGGCATTTTCAAGACATGAGATGTTCTGATTTGCTAAATTTTTAGATTGGAAAAAATACTGTAGGTAGCTACATGAATTACCCATTTTCAAAAAATTAAAATACAGTAAAATACAGAAAATAGTAAAATAAGCATATTAGTCAAGGTTCTCTCATCCAAAGAAACAATCAATAGGATCTATCTATCTATCTATCTATCTATCTATCTATCCATCCATCCATCTGTCCATCTCTCTCTGTATCATCTATCTATATCTACCTATCTATCCATCTACATATGTATGTATGTATCCATCCATCTCTCTATCCATCTACCCATCTATCCATCCATCCATCTATCCATCTATGCATCCATCTATTATCTATCATCTATCCATCCATCCATCCATTTATCTATTATTAATCTATCTACCCATCTACTTATGTATATATCTATCCATTCATCTATTCATCTATCTATCCATACTATCTGTCCTTATATTTAGAACTGCCAATCTATCCGTCTATCATCCATCTGTTCATCTGTTTGTCTATCTCCCTATCCAGCATCTATCGATCCATCTATCTATCCATTTATCTATCCATCCATCCATCTACATCTATCTATCTGTCTGTCTGTCTATCTATCTATTTATCTATCTATCTATCTATCTATCTATCTATCTATCTATCTGTCTATCTATCTATCTATCTATCATCTATTTATCGATTTATTTATCTAGGTATCCACCCATTTGTCTATCCATCCATCTGTCTGTCTGTCTGTCTATCTATCTATCTATCTATCTATCTATCTGTCTGTCTGTCTGTCTGTCTATCTATCTATCTATCTATCTATCTATCTATCTATCTATCTATCTATCTATCTATCAATTTATTTATCTAGGTATCCACCCATTTGTCTATCCATCCATCCATCTGTCTATCTATCTATCTATCTATCTATCTATCTATCTATCTATCTAGGTCTCCACCCATTTGTCTATCCATCCATCTGTCCGTCTGTCTGTCTGTCTGTCTATCTATCTATCTATCTATCTATCTATCTATCTATCTATCTATCTGTTATCTATCCATTCACATCTATCTATCTATCTATCTATCTATCTATCTATCTATCTATCTATAGATTTATTTTAAAGAACCATCTCACACAATTGCAGAAACTGGCAAGTGCAAAATCTGCAGGGTAGGTTGTCAGGTTGGAGATCCAGGGAAGAGCTGATGTTGCAGATCAAATCCAAAGGCCGCTTGCAGGCAGGATTACCTCTGGTTAGGGGAACCTCAGTCTTTTTCTATTCAGGCCTTTGATTGGACAAAGCCCACCCACATTATGGAGGGTCACCTGCTTTACTCAGTCTGGTGATTTAAATGTTAATCTTGGCCAGGCACTGTGACTCACACCTGTAATCCCAGCACCTTGGGAGGCTGAGGTGGGAGGATTGTTTGAGCCCAGGAGTTTGAGACCAGCCTAGGCAACATAGTGAGACCCCATCTCTACAAAAAATAAAAAAATTATCCAGATGTGGTGGTGCATGCCTGTAGTCCCAGCTACCCAGGAGGCTGAGATGGAAGGACTACTTGAACTGGAGAGGTCTAGGCTGCAGTGACCTAGAGGTGACCTAGTGATCTAGAGGTCTAGGCTGCCTTTGGGTCAAAGAGCCATTTGGTCTATCCTACAAACCTGTCTTCGTTTTGTGGCCAGACTGCAAGAGGACAACAGCCTGGGCAACAGAGCAAGACCCTGTCTCCAAAATAAAGAAAAAGAAATGAAATAATAAATGTTAATCTCATCTAAGAAATAGTTTACAAAAACATTTAGTGTTGAATCAGATACGTAGCCTAGTCCAGTCAACACAGAAAATTAACTATTACAACAAATCTATAGAATATATCACCTTTCATCATTTTTTCTGGGTCTTACAGTCCCCCAGAGTTACTAGAGCCTGCATTATCCATATTTCATGATGTCCCTGTGACTGTGGTCATGGGACTGGCCCTGAACAGAGCTTCTGGTTACTCAGCACACTCACTGGTGGAAGGGCAGGCAGTTATTTATTTGGTGAAAGTAAACAGGGCCAAGAGTGTGAGAGCAGTTACTGAGCTTCCAGAAACGTTTTGAGAAGGTTGGAGCATCCTCCTACTTCAAGGGAGAAATCATCAGAAATGCTACAGGATTTCTTTGAGAGATTTCCTTGAAAGGTCTAAAAATGTACCCCAGAGTCCAGGAATTAAGCCTTGGAGGAAAGAGGTAAGTTGGGGGCCCTGAGCTCTGTGAGGATGGGGCAGGCATCTGGCTCAATGTTGTCCATCCAGGTCAGGGCCTGCCCAGTAGTGAGTGCTGACTAGCAACTGGCTAAAATTATCCTCTTCTGTGGGGAGACAGAGATCATGCCATCCTAGCTGTGTCACACACATGTGGGAACAGGACGATCTCTACAGATCTGCTTGGGATAAAGTAATACTTTACACTCAGTCACTGGGTTCCCATGGAGGAGGCCTGAGCTGGTCCCCAGCTCCATCATGGCCCTCGAGTTACAGCTGGGCCTTCCCAAAAGGCATAAGAGACAGGTGGGGAAGACCCCACCCCAGGCTGGGGTTGGGGCTGGGCCTGAGGTCCTGGCCCTTCCCCAGGGCTATGACAACTCCACACAAAAATGGTTCAGTTTATTTGGAAGTAGCATTTTGTCACAAGAACAACTTACCAGAGGCCTTCTGTCTGAAGGAGGCTGTAAGGATGGGTTTTACCTGTTGGTTTAGGGGCCTCTCATTCTTTTCCCCTCTCCTGTTGCCCTTCCAGGCTACTATCGCCAGTATCGCCAGGAGCCCGTCAGCTTTGGGAACATCGGCTTTGGAACCCCCTACTACTACGTGGGCTGGTATGAGTGTGGGGTCTCCATCCCTGGAAAGTGGTAATCACAGGACCATCATGCTGCAAGCTTGCCCTGCCCAGCCTCACCAACTAAGTCGCACTAGGGGCTGTGAGCAGACAGCCAGCGTGCTCAGTCCTGCTGCCCCAGGTGCCAGGAAGGCCACAGATGGACACTGGCCATTCTGGTCATCTCAGTCTGGAACTCAGTCCCACTTCTTGGCCTGGACAATGAACAGGATTCAGTTTTGCTGTTAACTTTGCTTCTCCACTTTTTTTTTTGTTTGTAATAGCACATCACAGAGACATCAGAAACCAGCAGCTGATTCAGTATGATTTCCAGACTTTTTAGGCATGAAATTCGGATACTTCAGTATTTCCAGGAACAGCATATGCATGCTGTTCTTGCTTCATGGAATGCTACATGCTTTCAGTTTTTGTCATTTTGGATTTCTCCAAAACTAGCTGAATTTAAGCTTCAGGTCCCTTTGTATGCAGTAGAACCGAATTACTAAAAACACTGCCAAAGAAAATAAATATATCCTACTTGAGATTTACTCTATGGACTCACCCACTGCTAGACTAAATGTATCAAATCTTATTTGTAAATTCTCAATTTTGATATATATATGTATATATGCATATACATATCCACACTTGTCTGCAAGAATATTGATTAAAATTGCTAAATTTGTACTTGTTCACCAGATAAATGTGTGTGGGACTTTTTGGGCAAAAGTGTTGTATATTAACATCTTTTAGAAGCATCCAGGGATACGTACTATGCATACTCTGGAAACAGTGGAAGGTGTGCATTCTTTTTGTGGGTGCTGCAGGTCTCTGAAATGATGAGGAGGATGAGATACCATCAGTATCAGTACTAGAACTGGTCACACCATTGACCACTGCACACCAAGTGCTTTCCACCTAAAGTGACGATCTTTCCACAGCCTCAGGGAAAATATATTTGTTGCCACCATAGAGGCATATTCAATATGTTCCAGATGGGTGAAGATTTTAGGTCCTAAATGATTTAGAAGTCTTGTTTTTAAGAATTCCCTTTGTCTTTCCTTTTTAGCTCAGCATCTGCTCATTGAAATAGAAGCATCTTGCCTCTCTTGACTGTAGCACAATAGGGTTTATTTAAAGACATTTCATTCTGATGATGATGATGATGATGATGATTTTGAGACAGAGTTTCACTCTTGTTGCCCAGGCTGGAGTGCAATGGCGCGATCTTGGCTCACCGCAACCTCTGCCTCCTGGGTTCAAGTGATTCTCCTGCCTCAGCCTCCGGACTATAGGCATGCGCCACCACACCCGGCTAATTTTATATTTTTAGTAGAGACGGGGTTTCTCCATGTTGGTCAGGCCAGTCTCGAACTCCCGACCTCAGGTGATCTGCCCACTTCAGCCTCCCAAAGTGCTGGGATTACAGGCGTGAGCCACCATGCCCAGCCCTCATTCTGATTATTTTTAAAACATGCTGTCTTTTCCATGAGCATGACTGGTCCCTGTCCCTAAGGCGGCCCAGTGCCATGGAGAGCTTATCTTTCACAAAACTGTCAGCGGAAGAGCAGCAATGGTGGAAACGGGCTGGAGGAAATTGCTTTTCTGGGGTCTTCAGACCACACCCCTATGCAACCCATTCAACTGCAGAATACAGTCCCCACTCCTGGAGTTGATTATTATCAGTGCCAGCACTGAACTGAGGTGAAACCTGATGTGTCTGCTAGGTTTGAAGGTAAAATGTACAAAGAAGGAAGTAATTTTGCAGGCTCTTTGTGACAGATCCATGATGTCAGATATTTTCCTCATATTCTACAAGCTCCTTTCTACAGGCAACAACAGTAAAGAAAATACAACCATTCTGACCTCCTGAAAAAGTACTAGAATTCCTTAGGGAGACAGATCATGTGTTACCCATGTTTTAGTTTGGAAAATAGGGTAGGAATCTTTAAGCAGCTTTGGGGTCTCTTATACATAAAAAGGGACTTCAAGAAGGAGATGTCCTATTTTTCACACTAATCCACATTCAAATATGCTTGCAATGCCAAGCCAAAGATAAGATCTTTAAATATAACTGCATTTCCTAATAGGCACATAGCTTGCTTCCTTTATCTCATCTCCCGCCAAATTTCTGTGTCAGCATCTGTATTAGTCCGTTTTCACACTGCTGATAAAGATATACCTGAGACTGGGTAATTTACAAAAGAGGTTTATTGGGCTTACAGTTCCATGTGGCTGGGGAGGCCTCACAATCATGGTAGAAGGTGAAAGGCACATCTCACATGACTGCAGATGAGAAGAGAGGTTGTGGGGGGAAACTCCCGTTTTTAAAACCATCAGATCTCGTGAGACTCATTCGCTATCATGAGAACAGCACAGGAGAGACTTGCCCCATGATTCAATAATCTCCCACAGGGTCTGTCCCACAACACGTGGGAATTATGGGAGCTACAAGATGAGATTTGGGTGGGGACACAGAGCCAAGCCATATCAGCATCCACCAGCAGATTGCTCATTTCCTGCAAATGTTTTCTTGGGTCTAAATAACTTGGAATGCACGAGAAAAGAGCCATTTGGTCTGTCTAACAAGCCTGTATTGGTTATGGGGCCCCACTGGAAGAGGTGGGCATTAGGGCTCAGCATAGAGACACAAGTGACTGCCCCTCTGTGATTTGCCACCCCTCAGAGAAGTTTATGCTCACTTCACAGAAATACAAAGAATTCACTGGCATGCAATCATGCAATGATTTTTGAGCTCGGCCTGAAATCTTTAGGCTGTATTTGATTACAGAAATTTGAACTTTTATTAAATATAAATGTTTGCAATTTTAGATGAAAATTACCATAATTCCCAGATGACAAGAGCTGCCAAAACAAAAACAAAAACAATGCATCCAAGCATAGGTGGTAAGATTGATTATTAATATTCTGCCCAAATTAACCACATCTCCAGAACTGTGTAAATTCTGTAAGCCACATTTTAGGAAGGCTATTTGCAGGGAGATGCCAAGAAGGAGATACTCAAGTTAGTAAGAAGTTTGAAAGCCATTTCATATCAAGTTAGGATGAACTTGATCGACATGTTTACCTGAAGAGGGAAAAGCTCATCTATTTAAAAAGCCCGTGAGGAAGAGGACAGTTTGCCAACTCTTGAGGTCAGAAGTAGATACAAGTGGGAATCAGGAGAACAAAACTTGGCCCAATATGACAAAGAATTTTAAAAGGATCCAATTGTCAAGTAAGCCTCATCGGGAAACGGTGAGATGTCTGTCCCTGAAAAACTAAATATAACTGGAAATGTCTAAACTTGCAACTTGAGGCCCCTGGCTTGTTGCTATGGCCTGTGAGCTCAGAATTTTCTTTTCTTTTCTTTTTTTTTAACCTATTTAAAGGATTGTAAGCAAAGCAGCTAAATAGTGTTCAACAGGGCCACATGAGGTTCACAAGGTCTAAAATATTTACTGTCTGGTCCTTTAGAAAGCAGGTTTTGTACCTGGTCGGGCACGGTGGCTCACGCCTGTAATCCCAGAACTTTGGGAGGCCGAGGTGGGTGGATCGCGAGGTCAGAAGATCGAGACCATCCTGGCTAACACAGTGAAACCCCGTCTCTACTAAAAATACAAAAAAATTCACTGGGTGTGGTGGCACATGCCTGTTATCCCAGCTACCTGGGTGACTGAGGCAGGAGAATCGCTTGAACCCGGGAGGCAGAGGTTGCAGTGAGCCAAGATCACGCCAATGCATCCCAGCCTGGGAGACAGAGTGAGACTCCATCTCAAAAAAAAAAAAAAAAAGAAAAACGTTTTTGTACCCACAGATTAGCGTTTTCTTGAGGTTTGAAAAAAGTTTAAGTTATGTCCTAATTTAAAAATGAGCACGCCGGGCGCGGTGGCTCACGCCTGTAATCCCAGCACTTTGGGAGGCCGAGGCGGGCGGATCACAAGGTCAGGAGATCGAGACCATGGTGAAACCCCGTCTCTACTAAAAATAGAAAAAATTAGCCGGGCGCAGTAGCGGGCGCCTGTAGTCCCAGCTACTCGGGAGGCTGAGGCAGGAGAATGGCGTGAACCCGGGAGGCGGAGCTTGCAGTGAGCCGAGATTGCGCCACTGCACTCCAGCCTGGGCGACAGAGCGAGACTCCGTCTCAAAAAAAAAAAAAAAAAAAAAAAAAAAAAAAAAAATGAGCACAAACTCCCTAACAGATGTCTGTTTCCTCTTCTCTTACTTAAATTATCTTTATTTTCACCATCACCTCCCAGTGCCAAACACCTGAACTCTGTGTTTTGTGATTGGATCCTGGGTTGCCAACTTCCTGTTATGGTCAGTCCCTGGCCTGTGGGGCAGGTCTTGAGGTAGTGACATGCCTTCTGAGGGATCGTGCATCTCCAATTGGATCCTGGGTTGCCAACTTCCTGTTATGGTCAGTCCCTGGCCTGTGGGGCGGTCTTGGGAAGTGAAGTGACATGCTCTTCACGAGGGATCGTGCATCTCCAATATAACCATTTTCTTAATAATAGTTGATAGTTTCCAGCTTTTATCAGATGAACTTTGACTTATTTTTCCTCCTTTGACCTATTCAAGCCACATATCTTGGTCGGTTCGAGAGGGTAGGGGATTTGAGAATGTGAGGAGTGGGGCTAGAATGGGTTTGCCTCTCTGGGCATGGAAAGAGTTCCTAGTCGATTTGGCACAGTGACAAAATGATTCCATGGATAGAATCGTCCCATGTTGCTGGAATACCTCATATGTTGTGAATGCCTTAAACTCCTGCCATCCCGTCTCTGATTCCCCAGCTCCCTGTCGTTTCCACAGGGTTTGTCTCTCTGTTCCCGCGTCCTCCAACTCTACTCTGTCTCCCTCTCCTCCACCCCTTACTTGTCTTCTAAATTCCAGGAGATGACCTCACTTTGCAAAGCAAATTGGAGCCACCAAATTGTAGCTCTCCTCGGCGGGACCTGCATCTGTGCTCATCCCTGCACCTTCTTGCAGAAAGCTGTCCCCTCAGGCCAAGATGAGTGCCTGGCCCCCATGGGAGACTCAGACACTTTGACCCCCTGTGACTTCAGCGTCTCCCTCTTTAAAGATTCTCTCCAACATTCAGTCGCGCTCGAGTCTCCCCATCACTCCTGCGCCTTCAGCTCCCATCACGCTGTCCTCTACTTCGAGCTCAGTTTCTGGAATCATCACCTTTGTTTTAGCTCTGAGTCTCCTCCACATTCCATTTATTTATCACTCCACTGTACCATGGTTTCCAGGGCCACCTCCTCACACCCTCACTCTCCCAGGTCCCCAGTCACACACGGAGGCTGAATCCGGTGGCTGCTAGGCAGTCTGTTCTGTCTCGGTCTTTCAGCAGCACTTGGCAGCATTCACCAGCTTGTCCTCTTGAACTTTCTCTTGCCTGGATTTTTCCCTTCCCCACTCCAGAATAGCAGCCGGGCCTTCTAACCCCTTGTTTAAGAAGATGTGGTGCTTTGGGGTGCAAACTCCTTGGACTTTTCTTTCAAAAGCCTAAACATGCTGAGGAGAATATGTAAGGGCAGAAGTGGGGGTAAGTGAGTGCTTTTGGGGTTGTGGTGGGGTTGAGGCCAGACTTGCGAAGAGCAGTGGACAAGGAGACGTTTCCCCGAAGACTGCGCAGTGGACGCCAGGCTGGGCTTCCGGGGAGGGGACCCTGCAGACCCCTCCTTCCCACCTCTC